CAGGATAGGCTCCAAAGCCACAGTGAAACCCTGTCTCGAAAAAACAAACAAACAAACAAACCCACACCCGCTTTTTCTTCTGCTTTTCATTTTGTTTCTTAAGCTTCCTTTTATTTTGCAACTGTTTTTAGTTAGTATTCTTCTAAAAGTTTAGAACTACTTGACATTATATGCTTTCTTTTAATTTGTACATTTTAGTTACATTTTTCCTGCTATTATACCTTATGATGACAACAGTCAGCTGATAAATCACTCCTTATTTCACATGTACAGAAGGAAAGTATCCTTTCATACTCAATCAGCCCATTTTATTATCTTAAAAGTTTATCTCACTTTTCTATCCCTGTGCCTTCATAGCTTTGGAGTATATGCCTGCAGATCCAGCAACCATTATCTATTGTATTTGAAAAAAGGAAATTTGCATCTGTCAAAACTGTATCAGTATTGAACATATACCCTTTTTGTTTTGTTTTTATTCAATAAACAGCACAGTAAAATAACACTTACATAGATAGCATTTATAGTATAGCAGGTAATATAAATAATCTAGAAGTGATTTAAGGTATAGGCAAATATGTATAAGTTATATGTAAATACTACACCATTTCTTAACAAGTAACAGGCATTTGTAAATTATAGTATTAAGGAATCCCATTTAAGCCCCTCTCAGATACAAAGAGAAGACCATATATTCATTTTTATTTATTTATTTATTTATTTTTGTTTTTTTTCATATATTCATTTTAAATAGAATGCATACTGTTACTACTTGAATTTAAGAAGCATTTGGCCGAAAACTGATACATGTTTGAGCAGAATAATCTACACAGATCTTATGTTCAGTTTATAAGATCTAATGAAACATTTGTTTATTTTATTGTGGACTTTCCTTTGTGTTCATAATTGAGTTAATTTAGTTTTTTTAAAAAAAAAAGTCTCAGTTGGGCCTGGTGTCACAAGCCTTTAACCTCAGCACTCGGGAGTTTCAAGCAGGTACATCTCTGAAGTCAAAAGAGATTGAAGATTGAGGATTTCATTGAGTCACACTCTGTGTTGCTCAGTCTAGTCCATTTACTCCTGGGTCCAGTTTCTCTGCCTTAGTCTTTCAAGTACTCAGAACCCATATCCTGTTGAGGCCCATGTTTTCAGACTATTTTCTGTAAAGTAATTTTACAAGTACTTTGTTATATTCTGGACACCTGTGTTTATGTACTTTCTGATTTTAAAAAATGTTGTCTGTGTTCCTTTTTACTCAGAGTGGAATAGTATAGCTCTTAGTAAGCATTTGTTTAGAAATAGCAAAATAAACTATTCCTTATAAAAACCACTAACTTCTGGATGCTCTAGACTAGCATGTTTCTCTGTGTAACCTCAGGGTAAAACTGATAGATTTTTTAAGTCTGTTATGTCCTTTGGCTGTAGGCTAAAGTCTTGAGGTTCTAAGTTTACGTGGCTCATTATCTCTATTGTAAAGGGTAAGACATTTTCAAAGGTGACTTAGAAACATCTCTTCCCCTGAATTCCCCTGCTTCTGCCTCCCAAGTATTGGAATTAAAGGCATGTACCACCGCATCTTACTAATTTCATACTTAAACAGATCATGTAGTTTTGTCTTCATGCAATTCATTAATCTGGTAAATACTTGTCCAGTTTTGACTTTTGTAGTTTCTGGCTCTATCTATCTATCTATCTATCTATCTATCTATCTATCTATCTATCTATCTTATCCATCCAGCCAGCCAGCCAGGTGGTGGTGGTGCATGCATTTAATCCCAGCACTTTGGAGGCAGAGGCAGGTAGATCTCTGTGAGTTTGAGGCTAGCCTAGTCTACAGTGCAAGGTCCAGGACAGACTCTGAAGCTACACAGAGAAACCCAGTCTTGAAAAACCATATGTATGTGTGTGTATATATATGTGTGTGTGTGTGTGTATTGACTAAAACCTTATTTCTCATAGGCATATTGCCAACAATAGACTAGTATAAACAAGTATTTTGTTATTAAATGAGTGTTCATATAAGTACAAATTGAGTGCAGTGGCAACTGTGGATTGATTAATTGACAAGTGTGAGACAAAGCAGCTTCTTAGCAAAGAACAGTGTGGATTCATCAGATAAATTGAGCAGACTTTGCTTGTATGTAGAGGAACATATGGAAGAGAATAAAAGAAAATACTCTGGAGAGATGAACCTGTGGGATGAAATAAAGAAACAAGGCTGTCTTGTTCATGACGTTTTGAAGTCAGAGGAGAAAAGGAAGCTGGATGTGGTGGTCTATGGCTGTGCTAGCATTTGGGAGCCAGAGGCAGGAGGGATCTCACAGTGTAAGGCCAGCCTGAACTGCATAGTGAGTTCATGCCAGCCAGCTTCACATAGCTGGACCCCATCTGAAAAAGGGGAATTAAAAGAAGAAATATTAGAACTATTTAGCAAAGTTGGGAGTATGCCACTAGAGCGATTGCATTGAAACAATTCTTTCATATTTTTAGGGGAAAAAATACGTATCTAAACAACTACTACCACACACCCATACACAGAAATCCACTCATAGCATAAGGCTTAGTTTAATTTTACTTTATTTAAGTATTTGTACCAAATGTTTGAATTCCAATGTTTTCTTACTTAAGAACAAAGCTAAGTTGGAGGGAAAGGGGCACTGGTTTAGACCGGTGTTTCTGTTGCCTTATTTCAACTGAATAAAACTTTGCCATACTAATGAAAGTAGTCTGCAGTGTGGCAATCCTGCTGAGAAGGGATTACCAGGTAAAAGTAGCTTGGACATTACTGCCTTAGTCTTAAAAGTCTTATTTTTTGTTTTTTTACATGTATGTTTGCGTTTGCGTGTGCGTGTGCGTGTGCGTGTGCGTGTGCGTGTGCGTGTGCGTGTGCGTGCTGACATGGGAGTACACAAGTTGTTAGTGAACAACTTTCAGGAGTTCTCTTCATCCATCATGTGAGTCTTGAGAATCAAATTGATGTTGTTGGTATTGGTGGCAAGCACCTCTGCCCACTAGCCATCTGGTTATTCTTTATCATACATGTCTATACACTATCCCATTTTAACTAGATATTAATATTTAAAATATGGACTTCATCTCTTCTATAACAAAGATCATGGGGAACTTATAAAATTTAAATTCGTGTTTTTCACTCCTTGCTTCCTTTAGACCATATAATGAAGGGAACAGAAGAGTCGGAATCCTATGTAGAGCCTGAAATTAAGAGGAAATTACAGCAGAAACGGCATTGTAGTACTTATCAGCTATCTCCACTGTCCCCTGCCTCAAAGAAGTGTTTGACCCATTTAGAGGTAGGTAGAGAAGTTTCTCTTCTCACTAATCACATAGTACTTTTATTACTATTTTAAAATCTAATTTTATGACTGTATGTTTGTGAGAGTGTGGTTACATGCATGCCATGGCATAAGGTGGAGGTCTGTGAACAGCCTTTGGGAGTTGGTTCTTTCACTCTGGATTCTCAGGATCAGATTCAGGGCATCTGGCTTGTAGGCTTTATGTGCTTGAGCCATCTCAGCCTGTTCATGTATTGCGTTTATTGCTTATTACATGCTGTGTGATCTTTCATCATAGAACCCAAATAAACCTAGAAATGTTATTTAAGTACATGTTTCTGACTTAAATAGACCAAACATAGAATTGTCCAAAACATAGAATTTTTTTGTAAAGAATTTAGCACAGTCCAGATTATTGTACTCAGCCAAAACTAAAGAGGCAAAACATTTTTTAAAATGTTTTGGGTAGCACACACCTTTATTCCCAGCACTCTATGAGTTCAGGGCCAGCCTGGTCTACAGAGCTAGTTCCAGGACAGGCTCCCAAGCCAAAAATAAATAGATAGATAGATAGATAGATAGATAGATAGATAGATAGATATTGATTGGTTTTTTTTTTTTTTTTTTAAACTGTTTTTGTTTGGTTGATTTTGTTTCAGGAGACCTTGTAGCCCAGGCTAACTTACTCAAATTCGTTACATTCTTCTAGCTTTAGCTTTCAAATTGTTAATTGCAGGCATGAGACATCATGTGTAGCTATAAAATTTATAAAACCTAGGGCAGGAGAGATACCCAGTTACTAAAAGCACTTGCCAAAAAAGCCTGAGGACCTGAGATCAAATCGTCAGAACCAGTGTAAAGCCAAATGTGATGGTCCATATATGGAATAAGATTTGGGGGGGGGGGGGCAGGAGCAGGGAACAGGGCAGGAGAATCCAGTGGCAAAACAAGACGCTGTGTCTCAGCTAAAGGACTGAAACCCAGGGTTGTCTTCTGACCTGTTTGTGTTCATTCTTTTCTCTCCTTTGATCCTTCCCTTACTCCTCTTCCTTTCTCCCTTTTCACATCTCCCCTCATTTTTCTCCCTCTCCTTAATTTCATCTTTCTCTCCCAACTCTTCTCTTTCCCCCATAAATACTATATTACACATAAAGAAAAAAATTAATTAAAAAACTATACTAACTTGGGCCTGGAGAGATGCTCCGTGGTTAAGAGCATGTATTGCTCTTACAGAGACTTGAGATCAGTTCCAAACACTCAAGTTGGGCAGCGCACAAGCATCTGCAACTCCAGCTCCAGGGGACCTGATATTTTCTTCTGGGCTTTATGGGAACCTACACGCACACATGCACATACTGCCCCAACATATACATAATTTAGAAATAAAATAAACCTCATAGGAAATACTGATTTCAAACTTATTACTTGTTCCACAAAATCCAGTCTTGTTTTTTCTGAACTTAGGACTTTGGCATACTGGGCAGGTACCAAATCACTGATTTATATCCTCCTTCAGATTTCATGTAACAGTGCTTGGGTTTAAGTTTCATTTCAACATCATGTGTTGCATTTATTTGCCACAAGTCTTTAGACTATTTCCATCTGGTGTTTTGCCTGCATGGATTCATGAGTTTTAGATATGAGCTGCCATGTGGGTGCTGGTTATTGAACCTGGGTCCTCTGGAAGAGTAGTCAGTGCTCTTAACCACTGAGCCATCTCTTCAGCCCCAACTTTGGTTTTTTAAGGTGCTTCTGTTTCATTACTTTATGACTCGTATTGCATTTATCTGTTATTCTATCATAATTATATATTTTCAAGTTTACCTGAGAAATAATATGTATCTTCTCATTATACAGTGTATTGGGAAGCACATGATATTGATTTTTCACCTTAGTTAAGATGTTTTCTTATATATTTCTAAACTTGTCCTTTCCCTTTATTTTACATGGATCAAATCCTGAGCCTTCTTTATGTGTGCTAAGCTTATACTTTGTCAATGGACTATAGCTATATTCTCAGCTCCTTACTCATTTATTAGTAAGAGTTTTTAACACATGGTAGAGGATTGATTAATTAATTGGTTAATTTGTGTGTATAGATGTGTTTGTGTGAGTATATGTTCACCAGGGCTGGGAGTGTTGGTTATTGCACAAACCTATGTTGATACACATATAGGCCAAAAGAGATGGTCTGATGCCCTTCTTTATCACAGTCTACCTCTTCACAGAAACCTCGGGTTGGCATTTTTGTGCCTAGGTTGGAAGCCAGCAAACCCTAGTGGGAATACCCAGTTCTTAAGTGGGTGCTGAGGTGTGAATTTTGGGCTTATAATAGGGTATGGAGTGCTCTCTCTTCTGCCCTTATTTAGTTGTGTATCATCATGAGCATGTGAATTCTTAGTTTACTTGGCATATAGCCTTTAACTTTCATATATTTTGATGCTCAGATGATTGCTACTATTGCTTGTGGACCATCCCTTCAAGCTGGTCCCATTCTTTTAGGGCATCTTTACTTGGTGTAACAAGATAGTCTAGTCTTATTTATTTGTTTAGATCTCTCAGCCCAAGAGTCATATATCTCCAGGAAGTCATTGTTCCTTTACATGGCAGGAAGACATTTGGGCTCTAGTTATATTCATTGATACTGAGTTTCTGTTTGTATTCCTTATCATTAGACAGGGCTAGGAAATAACATGTATGTGTATTAAAGCCCTTGAGTTTATCTTTGCCCTTTATAAGATTGTAATTCATTTTAGCCATAGAATTCTGGTTGCCATCATCCCTATTTTATTTTTATGTGTTTGTTCAGTTTTCCCCTATTGACAGGTCTCATGGCTTGCCAGCCTAAAGTTGGCTTAGACCATACTGATGTCTCCTAAAAGGAGAAAGAGGAAGGAGGGAAGCTCCTTCTCATCACAGCTTTCTTCCTCCCCCAGGCTTCCATCCCAGAGCCTAAACTGCATTATGTCTAAAAACCTTCTTTGACTCGACTTCAGTGTCAATTGAGCCTATTTTCCCTTAGAGAGAGGAACAATTAGAGACAATCTCTTTGTAATCTTTAACAAACAAGATTAGTGGTTTATCTTTCCACCTAAGACTGTAGGACTCTACAATGTACTGCTTGTAAAAACAGGAGTGAGGGTGAGGGTGTGGTGGTTCACACCTTTATTCCCAGCACTCAGGAGGCAGAGTTTGAAATCAGTGCAGTCCACAAAGCCAGTTCAGGACAACCAGGACTGTGAACACAGAGAAACCTTGTCTGTAAATACTAAAAAATGAAGGAAGGAAAGAAACAGGATCTTTGAATTTGATGTAAATTGAACATCTTTTGGATACATAATAAGAATGATATTGTTTGAGATAGGCTTGTTTTAATTCAGTAAGATTTTTTATGTATAGAGTCTAGGACATAGTATTCAGTATTAAATTTGTAGTGTTTTCTTGTTGGAGTTTTCATAAATAAATTATAATTATGAAAGTTTTCACTTTATGTAAATAAAGTAAACCTTTAAGCTATACAATTCTATAATCCCATCACTCATCAGGTAGAGAGGCAAGAGGATTGTCCAAGTACAAGATCAACCTATCTACATAGTGACTTCCAAGGCAGCTGGTGCTTCATGGTGAAACCTTTTTTCAGAAAATCAAAAACAATGAAGTGAAGGGAGGAGGGTTACATATACCTTAGGAAAACTAAGTAGGATTTCATTTTGAGACTCGTGTTTTTTTATTAGTTTCATTTGGGCTTGGTTTCCATGATGCAGGAGATACAATTTAGGGTTGAGCTTTATCCCCAGCTGTATTTGCAGGTGGGGCATGTGTATGTGATGTGTGTCTCTGTCTCATTGTGTAGCCCAGGTTACCCTTCAACTCTTCCTCAGCTTTGCAAGTGCTGTGCTTACAGTTGTATGTTAGCATTCTTTGCTTTAAATTATTTTTATTTTCTTTTAATATTTGTTTTTAATTTTGCATATGTGTCTCTTGTGTATGTACTTGTGAGTACAGGTGCCCTCAGAGGCCAGAGGTGTCAAATCTCCATGGAGCTAGACTTTATGGACTATGTTGAGCTACATGGGAACTGAGTTCAGATCATCTATAAGAGCAGCATGTGATCCATGTGAGCCATGGCTTGAAATTCATAACCTATAGTTTTTTATCATTAAAACTTGAGTGTCTGATTCTGTTCATTGACTGCATTTTGTTTCTCATTGCTGCAATTTTGTGATGTGTGTATGTGTATTAGCTGATGAAAGGTGGGGATATACTTACTGTGTTTTAGTATCATTTTTCTAGAAAGAAGACATGGAATTGCCGTTTTTCCCAAGTACTTTTCTTTTAAATATGTTCTGTTACCTTTATTATAGACAGTAAAGTTGAAGCCAAGCACTTGGGGTGTTTCTCTTTTGTTTGCTGGTTTGTTTATTTGTGGTACCGAGAATCAAACCTAGCCTCTATTGTCTGCAGAGCGGGGTCTCTACCTTTCCTAGCTCTTTCCCTTTTGATTCTTAAGGATAAAAATTAGCTTAGCATAGCTAATTGCTGGATGTGATGCCCTTGAAATTTTTTCTAGCATTCTGTTGCTGATTCCCAAAGAGCATGACTCATTTAGGATCTTAGGGAGTCCATGATAGTGATGATAGAAAAACCAAAGACTTCATTTTGAGCTTTTTTTATTTTTTTTTTTAAAAAAAAGTTTTCTTTTTAAAGAAACTTTTTTGATGCTAAAATACCAAAGTCTTTTCTTTTTTGTTTTTTGGAACATAAGGTATCTGAACAGCGTGAATATTGCCCAAAATGTGGAAAAGAAAAAGAAAATCAGACCAAATGCCAAAGTTGTGGTATTGTTTTTCATAATGATTTGCAAAGAAATTGCAGACAAGCTATAACTTTGCATGAATCCACTGGACCATTACTAAGAACATCAATTCATCAGAATTCTGGAGGACAGAAGTCACAAACCACAGGATTAACAGCTAAGAAGTTTTATGGTAACAATGTGGAAAAGATTCCAGTTGATATTTTGGTGACTTGTGATGCTAGTAGACATAATTACATACAGACTAATGGAAAAGTGATTTTACCTGGGGGAAAAATACCTAAAATTACAAACCCGAAAGAACGAAAGACAAGCGTGTCAGATCTAAATGATCCAAGTAAGTATCTTCTTCTTGTTTCCTGCCTCCTTTCCTGAGACTCTAGTCTTCGCTCCTGAGCATTTGGGGTCAAGCTGTGTGCCACCATGCCTAGACTAACTGTAAAGATCACAATAACAATCCAATATTTTAATTGTCTCTTTTTTTAATGTGAGCCTTTTTGAGAAGCACAGTTTCCAGGGGTATCATCTTCTGGCAGGTATGCAGCATTTGGAGATCATGTAATTACAGCATTTCCATATAGTTGTGAAGGAAATAACTGACTTGTTCCCATTCGTCCTGTGTTAAAATAGTCAATAACAAAACAGTAGCTTGGCCCCATTCTTTGCTTCTGTTAGTTATTGTTCATTTTGACTTAATCTGTATCCCCCATCTAGACTTTTTGTGTGTGCACTTGGTGCATAGGCTGGTGAGCTCCAGGGTTCAGCCTCTCTCTTCCTTTCCAATGCTGCGGTTAGAAATTACCATGCCCAGATTTTTTATGTGGGGTTCTGGAGACCAAACTCAGGTACTGGGTACTTACAAAGGTTTGCCAACCAAACTGTCTTTCCAGCCCCTTTGTTAGTGAACTGAGGAAATAAAATAACATAAATGACAGATAATCATAGTTCAATATGATATCTGACACATAGAATGGTCTCAGTGCAAATTAGTTTTCTTACCAAAAGGCAAAATAGTTTGTGGGCATTTTTAAGCCTTGTTAAAGAAAGTGCATACACAATTTAAAAGCTTATAGGTACCAATCAATGCAATAGGATTTTACATATCTGTGTAACAATCCTGTGAAATAGATATCTCTGATTTCATAGAGGAGAGAAATTGAATTAAATAACCAGCTTTGAAAATAATAAAAGGCCAGTACTTATTTGTTATGAAACTAGATAACAAAATCAAGGATATAACTGGAGTGATGGCCCTCTGGGGCATATACATTACTTAGTAAGTATTAACTGAGCATGTATGTGTGGGGTGCTAAAAAGAAAACTGCCCATATAAGTTCATACATCATGCCTTCTTTAAAACCCCACTCCTTTATTAAAGTTATTTTCCGGGAGTAAGTAATTCACAGGCAGCTGTATCACCAGAATGTCTTTAGCCAACTTTTTACTCTTACATAGGAACACTTTAAAGATCATGTAGCATTTTTAATGTTTTTCTTTCCCCTTGTGTGAAGCACAGTTTTAGGTTTGGGAATATATTAGTGAGCAAGACATTGTCCCCGCTCTTACAGTTGCAAGTAAACTTATACAACAAAGTGATACAACATTGAAATTAATAAGTGGCTGTCTATGTGCTTACATTAGTTTTAACTGTCCATCAAAAAGCGATTTTCAGGCTATGATTATGACAAAACCTGAAGAGTGTTGAAGGTAGAATAGTCAACTGAATTCTTACTAGTGTTCCTGGATCGAGTAATTGGAATTTTACTCAGTACAGTGCAGTCAGGTTATGGATTACAAAGAATAGATTTGATATGGTGTACTAATGAGCATAAGTCTTGTTCATGCTTATAAAGCAAGATATGTTGAGCATTAGATATTAGTATGGTTTCTCCTCAGGACCAGTTATAATTTTAGTGTTTCTCATTGTAAGACAAAATTATTTGGCCACATGCTTAAAATGTATGTTATTTTGAACATAATTTAGACATTTTCAAACCATAAACTTTCTGTAACCCTGAAGTAGACCTATGGGTAATTCTTGTGAGTTACTGATGTAGTTGTGTGGGTTAGTGGCCACTATATCATGTTTTACTTTTTCCTTGGCAGAACTGGAGATTTGAACCCAGGGCCTTATGAGTGCTAGGCAAATGGTCTGAGCTATATCCCCAACACTGATAATGGTGACTATACCAGCCAAAGCTAAAGAGTTGATTTCATATTTGTCTAATATTTTTATAAAGACTATAAATCATATGCTTTTTTTTAACCTTTCATGAGATACAGTGGAGTGTGTGTGTGTGTGTGTGTGTGTGTGTGTGTGTGTGTGTACACCCGTGCGTGTGTGGGTGTGTGCATGTGTGTGTTTCAGTGATCAAATTCAGGGTACTAGGCTTGTGCTGCAAGCAATTTTACATGCTGAGCCATCTTATCGGCTCCCCCTTCATTTGCGTTCATTGATCTGTGGAGAAGATCTAAGACAAACTTGGTGTATTTCCTACTTAAGGTTTTAACTTACAGAAATGAAATATCAGTGTACAGTTTTACAATGTAAATTTTGAATATTGTTTATTATTTTAGTAATTTTGTCAAGTGATGATGACGACGATGACAGGACTAACAGAAGAGAAAGCATATCCCCACAGCCTGCCGACTCGGCATGTTCTTCCCCAGCACCATCTACTGGAAAAGTGGAAGCTGCACTAAATGCAAATATTTGCAGAGCAGAGCAGGAATCTAGAAGCAATCCAGCAGAATCGGAGTTAAATACAGTTGTCATACCAAGAAAAGCAAGAATGAAGGACCAGGTACATTCAGATTAAGGTCTTCCTTTTGGGATGTAACCTCTGGTTTTCAGGAGTAATTTGTTAATGATAGCACGAGAAGATGGCTTATTCACAAATTCATACTCAAATACTGTTAAAAGATTCTTTTGGAAGACCACTAAACTATTCTTACAAAATAAATTATAATTTAATCAAAGGCTTAAGTTAAAAATCCAGCAAGAAAAAAAAATGCCTGTGTAAACAGGGTGATGGCGGCAAATGTCTTAAATCCCAGCATTTGAATGAGAAGACAGGCGAATCTTTTGAGTTCAAGTTCCAAGACAGCCAGGGCTACACAGAGAAACCCTGTCTTAACACCCACCCCCCACCCCCCCAAAAAAAGGCCCGTATCATTCTTAACAAAATGTCAGTTCAGGTTCCTTTTCCAATATGTCTGCGACCATTGTTTTAAATTTCATATTTGTGTGTGTGTGTGTGTGTGTGTGTGTGTGTGTGTGTGTGTTTGTGTGTGTGTGTGAATATAATTAGGTATTTGGAACTAGGACCTAAGTCTAAAAGGAAATTATTTATATTTGCCACATACAGTGTACAGATAATCTTGAGGTAAGTTTTGCACAGTATCTTTAGTTCACTTATATTTTCTTTTCATTAAATTTCTTAATTTTATTTATGTCTATGTGTATATGCACATGAGTGCAGGTACCAGCCGAGGCCACAGGCATCATATTCTGTGGAGCAATGTGTATGCTGAGAACTGAATCTGTGTCCTCTGGAAGAGCAGTATGTGTCCTTACCACAGAGCCACTTCTCTAGTACGTCACTTGCATTTTTTACTGCAACCAGTCACTTTAGTGCAATTGTTGGTGCTCAGAAAGGTTCAGGGTTTGGAGTAGTTCATACTTTAGGGATAATGTGCATGCATGTGTTTATGTGTGTATGAATGTGTGTATTTCTTAGAAAACCTAGTAGGCTGGAAGTTATTTTCAGTGTATGTCACCGTAGTATATAGTTGTATCTTTAACCATAGTTTATAATTTGCTTAAAAATTTTAAGACATTCAAATGAAAAATGGTAAAGTGTAGTAAATAAAAAGATTTACAGAAATATTTATAATACAAAAATAATGGTATTTGAAATAGACCAAATGCTATTAAAAGTGAAAGAATAGGGCTGGTGAGTTGGCTCTACAAGTAAAGGTGCTTGCTGACAAATCTGATAATCTAATTTCAATTTCAAGGACGTAATGATGGAAGAATAAAACCAGCTCCTAAAAATTGTCCTCCGAGTTCCATGTGCGTACCTTAGCACTGCCCATCCCCATAAGTATATAACTTTTAAAAAAGTAAATAACTAAAACTGAAGGTATTCCTTAATAAGGACCAGATGTCCCTAACCTTTTGACAGTGTAAAGTGATGGACACTATAAGGTGATGATGGTCACTATAAGGGAATGGTCTCTGAGATAAACTACACAATTCATGCTGGAGACTTGAACAGTTGAGTTGCTACTGTTTGTTTAAATCTCATAGTGTTTTAAAGAAGTTTATGATTGTGTTCATAGCTATTGTTCAATACATGTGGCCATCAGAGCATAAGTTGGACATTTTATCAGATGTAAACCATCACATAAAAATTAGTAAGGAAGAACTGCTTAAAGAAGTAGAATTTAATTATTAACTAAGTAGACTTAATACAAAGTAGTGTGTGTTCCTGGTAAGAATCCAAGAGAATAGGTGGTTACTTTTCTGTTTTGGCAATAGAAAGGAAAGGTATGTAAAGTATATACATATATTTATGTGTATACACACACACATATATTAATATATGTCATTTGACCCTATAATAAGTATTTTTCTCAAAGGAATTCTTCCCCCTTTCCCAAGGTGTGAAGTATGCAACAAGATTTTTTAGCTGGGCATGGTGCCTCATGGTGCTTGCAATCCCAGCACTAGGTAAGCTGAGACAGAAGGATCGCTGCACATTTGATTGAGACTATTTTGGGGTAGAGTGAGTTCTGTGTCTCCCTGGGCTGCAAAGTGGAACCCTGTCTCTAAAAACACGTCAAAACAAAATATAAGCCAAATAATAACAAAACATGAGTAATGAGAAAAATCACTACGCACTAAAAGAGGTATGGCTGAAAAAATCCTGCTTTGATAAAACGTTGCACCAGTGCAAGCAATTGAAGATAGAAATTAGAGCTAAATAAATATATAGTACTCTTTAGAGGGGATAAGACACAGGAATATATGAATTCATAAAATGAACATGTTTTACAAAATGAACACTTTTTTTAAAGCAGAAGTTTAAATAGAGTAACATGGGTTCACTAAGGAAAAAAGAGAAAAGAAAAGAAACAAAAAACCTGGAACCTTAAGACATGAGAAATAATACAAGTAACTCAAAGATTACTTTTTAAAATGGATTGGTATTTTTATATAATAATAGTGCCTTGCTAAGCTTAACAATACAAGTAAAAATAAGCAGCAGAAGTATAGGTGTGTTTTTAAAAAGAAATTCAGATCAGTGTATGAAACATGATCAGGAATTGATAGGTTAATGTAAGTGAGAAAATGTAGCATCAGTTGATTCTTTATATATTTGTAATTAAAATCAAGAATGACTAAAGAGAGGAGATAGCTGTGGTTAACATGCCTGCCACACAGCCTGAAGACCTGAGTTCGATACCTAGCACCCATGTAGAAAGTGTGGATGGTAATGGAACGCTGGAGAAGCAGGCACAGGTACATCCCTGAGCTTACTAGCCTGTCAACCTTACCCAGTCAGAGAGCCCCTAGGGCCTAGCACATGCTGACATACAGGTGCTTACACATGGGTACACACATGCGTTCGTGTGAGTACTGAAAAATAAGTAAAGAAAATAAAGTTCAGGAAAGGTGGTAATCAGGTAGTGAATATGAAATGAGTTGCTCCTTGTTAACTGTACTGATTGGCAAAAGGCTTTCTAGCTAGTAGTGCTCCAGTGGTGTTTGGAAACATGGGATGTTAGTGTTGTAAATTTAGGTATAACTTGGCTGGAGTGCAGTTGAACAATAATTTCACATAGGAACTAGACTCTTCTCCAGAAATGCTTACTGGAGATAGTTTGCTATAGGGCAGGCTGGAAGTACATGCAACATAGACAAGTTCTGTTAGGTGAGTTGGACTTCCATGTGGTAGGATTGTTCAGGTTTTTGATGGGACACTGACCAGAAGGCTTCTATTGCTCATCTCAGTGATGCTCTGTAACAGGGTGTGTGATCTTTCAGACTCCTCCTCCTTAGGATTCCATTGGGAGTAACACTTAAATTATCTGTCGTTAGTGAGCGGAATAGCTCTCATTTGGAAAATGACTATAAAGCTTAAAAACCAAACTAAGCCAAAACAAACATATCCAAGTTTTTTTTTTTTTTTAAGTCTTTGTGTTCCTATTAATAATTTAGGAAAAATAGTCATAATAAACAATTTCTTAGCCTGAAAAATCAGTGTATAGAACTGTATCCATAAGGTAGGGAGAGGTGTGTGTGTATGTGTGTGTGTGTCTGTGTGTCTGTGTCTGTTTGTTTCTTGGAGGATTCTGGGGATGACAAGCATTAAAGTAATTATTCATGGTGTTGCAAATGACAGGATATTGTACTTTTTTTTAAACCTCTGCAATTATACAGGACTCATGTTCAGTATTATTCCTCAAATTACATAAACAAATGCAAAAGTAAAGAACCCAAGTCAAAATTATATAACAAACAGCACTCCATCACAAAAGCGTGTAAAATTACAAGAATGCTATTTTTAAAACACTGGCACTTTAAGAATGATAATCTCGAAAAAACCCACAAAATTGCCAGATTGTTCCCTAAACTGCTAAGCGGATTAAACATGACTAATAAATGAGTTTGGGTTTTTATAAAGAAAAACCAAATCCACTCGGGAGGCAGAGGCAGTCAGATAGATCTCTGAGTTGGAGACCAACCTGGTCTACAAGAGCTAGTTTGAGGATAGCCTCCAAAGTCACAGAGAAACCCAGTCTCGAAAAACCAAAAAAACCCAAATGGATTGGACGTACTAATATGCAAAGTTTATCATCTTTCCTTGCATCTGATCTATAAAGGGACAAATCACAATATAGGAAAATAGGCCCTTAATTTAATTTAATTTTAAATGTGGCATAATTTTAAGAAAAGCTGGCTCAGCTAATTAAAAATACTTTTTGAACAGTCAAGTTTCCTGAGCAATCCTGTGTTTAGATAGATGGGCAAAGGCATTACAGCCAGCGTTCTCATCATAGCCTTCAACAGGACCAATATCAACAAAGTTTAATATGGCAGTCTTGTATTTTAAGCTCACAGTTTTTTTGTTTTGTTTTGTTTTGTTTTTTGGGGGGGTGTTTCAAGACAGGGTTTCTCTGTGGCTTTGGAGGCTGTCCAGGAACTAGCTCTTATAGACCAGGCTGGTTTCGAATTCACATAGATCTGCCTACCTCTGCCTCCCAAGTGCTGGGATTAAAGGCGTGCGCCACCACCGCCTGGCTTAAGCTCACAGTTTTGGGGGATACATTCTCAGGTCTTCAATAGGGAACTGTAGAATGTAGCTGCCATTACACAGTAATGGACGTTAAGAAGAGTCCTCATGTAAGGATTAGAACATAATTTTCTACTAGTCCTTCAAGGACAGACTTTCAGATTGTTCAATTCTAATAATTCCATGGTGTGATAGAATTGATCACTCTCAGCTTTGCACATGGGTTATGTACTCTCTTATCCAACTGGTCACAATTTTGGAATTTCAACTATGGATGAAAATGTTGCCTATCACAATATGCAGGGTGTATAGATAAAAGTTGGGGTTTTTTTGTTTGTTTTGTTTTGTTTTTAGTTAACTATATGAAAAGAAACACTGCAGTAATTCATGTGACCCAAAATGGGCAAAAGCAAGACTAGCTTCCCCTTGAGAAGAAAAATTTCAGACCTATGGAAAGGACAACAATACTAATAAAAAAAAATTGTATTTACTTAGAAGCATTGTAACATGTCAACAAAATAGCTGCAATTCTTCTTTTTTTTTTGTAATTACAGAGTGGTATTCAGTTAACAGAACAAATTATCTTTGTATAAGCTGCATCAGAGACAACTGAAGATGGAAAAAAAAACCCTAAACAAAACAAACAAATAAAAAAAAAAAAACCTACTGTCCCCATACATAACTAATTTGTGCTATGCACTAATAAGAACCTGTTTTAAATTTCCATGCCAATTTATAATCCCCAGACTGTATCAGGCAAGGTTAGTGGCTATACCACCAGGACAGGGCTATCTAAAGACACATTCAGTAGTGTGTTAACTATACAAAAAAAGACATTGTACAGTTTAAAAACAAATCTTACACAGCCTTACATTTCAATTCTTTTTTTCTTTAAAAGGAGTGAGTTGTTTAAAAAAAAAAAAAAGGAGTGAGTTGTTGCAGGAGGTTTAAATGCTTTATAGACCCTCCCCCCCAAAAAATGTACTAGAACATCATCATCTACTTCATCTTCTTCTTCCTCCTCTTCCTCATTCTCTTCCTCCTCTTTTTCTTGCTCTTTTCTGCCTTTTTCACTGCATCAGGGTTTTCCTTTAGCTCTGTAAGCAGCATTTTCCTTTTCGTACTTCTCCTTCAGCTTGGCAGCCTTCTTTTCCAGGATACTGTACTTTCATATGTCTGAGAAGTAATTTAGTGTGTCTGTGTGCCATATTTTTACTTTTATTTCCTTCATCAGTTGATGTGCACCTAAGTTGTTTGTCTTATCTATTGTGAATAGTGCTGTAATGAACATGGGAGTGTAGATGTCTCTTTGACAGGATAGCTTCATATACTTTGGATAGCAGCAATAGTACTGATTTAATTTTTGGAAGAATCTCTATCAGTGTTTCTGTAATGGCTGTAGTAGTTTTCACTGTGATTTTTTTTTTTTTTTTTTTGGTTTGCATCCTTACCATCTCTCTGATGCTGTTTTGAGTTGCTTCGCTGTGGTATTGATTTGCATTTCCCATGTGATTAATGGAGCTGATCATGTTGTTGCTATACCTGTAATTATTTATGTGTCTTGTTTTGTGAACTGTCTGTTTAAATATATTGTTCCTGTTTTATCTATCTGCCTTGAACTTCCTAAGTAGCTAAGAATAACTTTGAGCTCCTGCTCTTCCTGCCTCTACTTCCCCAGTGTTGGAATCATAGGCATGAACTTCAGTGCCATCTTACACAATTTTTCTGTGTCTTTGTTGAGTTGCTTATATTAACTCCTTTTGGGTATATATTCTCATATCTATTGGGGTTTTTTTAAATTTTTTTTTTTTATGCTTTCATTGTCTGTGTGAAAAGACCTTTGCTATTCCATCATTTGGATATTCCTCCCCTGTATTTTTTGTACCTATTTCATAGTGTTTTTTTTTTTTACTTTTTTCTTTTTTTTTTTGAGACAGGGTTTCTCTGTGGCTTTGGAAGCTATTCTGAACTGTGGCCTCGAACTCACAGAGATTCACCTGCCCCACCAACGCCTGGCCCTATTTCATAGTTTTAAGATTATATATTAGGCCTTTAATCCATTTAGAGTTTTTTTTTTCTTTCTAATATAGTCAGGGATAGGACTCTTTTTCATTCTTAATTTAAAAATATATTTTCATTTTATGTGTATGGAAGTTTTGCCTGCATGAATATCTGTGTATCACTGGCTGCCTGATTCCACAGAAGCTGAAACTGGAATTATAGATGGTATTGAACCACCATGTAGGTGCTAGGAATTGAACTTGGATCCTCTGGAAGAGCAGCAAGTGCTCTTAACCTATGAGCCATCTCTCCAGCCCTATTTCATTCTTGTATATATTGATACAGCATTTTCCTGCATCATTTATGGAAAAAGACTGTCCTTCCTCTAGTGTGTATTCTTCTCCGACCCCCCACTCGTCATCCTCCACCCACCCCTAACAGGGTTTTTCTGTAACTTTGGAGCCTGTCCTGAACCCTAGAACTCAACTCTGTAGACAAGGATGGCCTCAAACTCACAGAGATTCACCTACCTATGCCTCCTAAGTTCTGGGATTAAAGGTGTGGGTCACCACTGCCTAGCTAGTGTATATTCTTAGCAATCCTGTCAAAAAATATGTTACCTGTAACAGGGCACTTGGAATGTTTTGAGGGAAGAGGATCCTCAGTATGAGGGCATCAAAGACTACACAAAGATCCAGTCTCAAAACACCAAAATGGGCTAAAATGATAGCTCCATTGTTAAAGGCAAGAGTTCAGTTCTTAGCACCCACGGTAATCAAAACCATCTCTCAAGCTTTCCCATGCTCTCCTCCAATAGTATATAACATAATATATGTTATATACATATATTATCTGTACTCAATTAAAATGAAGAAATAAAAAAATATGTCTTTAGAACATGGATTTAATTTACTTGCAGGTTTTTTATTCTGTTCCATTGGTCTATGTTCTGTTGGTTGGCCTGTTGTTCTGTGTTTATTTCATTACCATGCTATTTTCATTACTATGACTTTGGAGTATATTTTGAAGTCAAAAATAGCTTTGTTTTTCCTTAGGATGACTCTAGTTTTCAGGGATTTCTCTGTCTCTCTTCTTTTTTCTTTGTGATTGCATAGTTGCATATGAAGTGTTAAGATTTGTTTTAGGTTTTGTTTTTGTCTCTTTTTTTTTTCCTTCTTCAGTTCTTCAAAAAGTGGTATTGGTACTTAGAGATTGCTTTGACTCTATAACTCTTTCAATTGGTGTGTATATTTTAACAATACTGATTCTTCTCCATGAACCTGAGATCCCCTTTCCTTTGTTTTGTATGACTTCAGTTTCTTCATCATAGATATGATTAGCTTTGCCTAATCTAATGCCTAGATGTTTTATATTCTTGTAGCTGCTAGTATCTTTAGTTTTTATTTAAGATAATTGGCTGTGGGTATATGGCAGCATATTTTATTGATTAATTTCATATCCTGTAACTCTGAATTTGCTTACACTGATAGTTGGGGGTGGTGTTTGAGGGACTTTGTATACTTCTTGCTTAAGTGTATATTTTGTTCAAAGGCAGACCCTAGAAGTATCTCAGAATGATAATGGGACTGCTGCCTGTCCTGTATAGGGTACATGGCCTTTGTTGTTTGATTGGTTTGGATATTTTTTCTATCAAGATCATGTTTTATTCTTTGATAATATAGTTGTTGCAGGTTACAGAAAAATTGAGAGTCTGAAGTATTCTAAAGAGCAAAACTTTGTTAGGTGGGTTTGAATTTGGGACTTTGAGATTATGGATGTTAAACTAGTAAAGCCTATTTAGAATTATTCCAAAATCTGAAACACTTCTGATGTCACACATTCAGATAATGGTGTATGTAATTTATATGAACACAATTAATTTTAATTAAAATTATAAACATAAAATGTTGTTTATATTGTGATTTGTTTGCACTTGTGAGTATGAAATAATTCAGATATTAAACATTTATTTATTTAGTGTGTGGGGGTGTGTACATGCCACAATGCAAATCTGGAGGTTAAACGACAACTAGTAGAGTCTGTTATTTTCTTCATCCATGGAGGTAGTAGGGGTTTGAGGTGGCCAGGCTTGACAGTGTGTATGCATCCTTACCTACTGAGACACACCAGTGGTTCCAGATCAAGTAATTGGTCTGTGAGAATACATAAAATATCCCTTTTAAATCTTATCTGCTCTCTAAAGAAGTGGTTCAACTACTGTTACTCATCACTGCATCCATCCAAGAAGCTTGTCTGTACATCAGTTCCCTCTGACCTGTACTCTTCAGAGTACAGAGTACTCTTTGTTTGTTTGTTTGTTTGTTTGTTTGTTTGTTTTTTGCTTTTCGAGACAGGGTTTCTCTGTGGCTTTGGAGGCTGTCCTGGAACTAGCTCTTGTAGACCAGGCTGGTCTCAAATTCACAGAAATCTGCCTGCCTCTGCCTCCCGAGTGCTGGGATTAAAGGCATGCCCCACCAAGGCCTGGCCAGAGTAGACATTCTTAGCCCTCAGTGATTTTCAGTTTAGGAAACTGAAGCTTAAGGAAGTTACTAATTTTTGCTAAATCATTGGTTGGTATTTTGGCCATGATTTGAACATAGTCAGTGTAATTTGTGAGTTTCATTCCTGACCACTGTGCTTCAATTTCAACTCATAACTTGTGAATTTACTTTATATTATAGCCATAATTTCTCTTTCCTCTCATTAAGGAAGGATAGTCAGTCCATGTAGTGTTGTGTATGTGTGTTTGCTTTGCAGCCTTATTACTACGGTACTTACTATGTGAAATTTTCTTTTTCTTTTCAGCTTGGCAATCCCATCAGCACACCTCTAAAACGTCGTAAAATAAACACTCATGGAAATTTAATTCACACTATGTCACTGCCACACTGCCAAGACTTTGAAAGTGTCATTTTAAACTGCCGAAGTATACGAGTTGGAACACTCTTCCGACTATTGGTAGAGCCTGTGATTGTAAGTACTTTCTTAAATTCTGGCTGTACTAATATGACTCTTAAAGTTCATGAAGTTATTGAAGTTAATCAAATATGAAAATTAGTTAAAGATTTCACATTGGTTTAAGATTATATAAGTAATCCATTAAAAACTTGTGGATATGTAAATACAATGTTAAATTCAAAGTAGTGTTAAATTTACTGTAGGAGATGCATGTGACTCATACTTACAGTTAAGTTTTCTCTACATTGAAATAATTAGAGAAAGTTAACTTTTTTTGCAAAGGGGGGGGCATGTTTCAAGACAGGGTTTGTGTGTTACTCTGGGTCTCACTCTGTAGACCAGGCTATCCTTGAATTCAGATATCCGCCTGCCTCTTCCTTGTGAGTGCTGGGATTAAATGGCTAAAATTAAGCCATTTTATAACCGCCAATAAATGATTCAAGGAAGGAATGTCAGTGAGTGCTAAAACCATTGGGTAAACTATATCCAGTATATCTCCAAATATATTTAATATGTGCAGATATATCCAAAGATATAAATGTCTTTGTTCAGATTATTTAATTGCAAGTGGACAAATATGGAAACAATATGAAAGCCTAGCAGTCAGTGTTGAGGCCAGGTGAATAAGCTTACATCACCAATGAGACAACCTGGCATTTGCAGTATGATAGTGTGGGGTTTCAGCATATCACCCATTGCTTCTTTTACTGAGAATGTATGGCCTGGATTTGGAGATAAGGCAGCACCTCTCCAGGAGATCATATGTTTTGTATAATGTACATCTCAAAAGCCATGTCAGGAGGAATAGAGAGGCAAGTTTCTAGTGTAAACACTGTGGTTGTATGCCATATAATATTGACAGAATAGTGGCTGAGGGAAAGTTAAAACAAGGATCAATGAGTAATTGTGAGCATTTATGAAAATTTAAGTATAAAACATATGTTGAAGAAGTTAGTCTTGATTTCTTAGATGTGCTGATGTTGTTTCAGTTGCACAGGAAAACGTTTTTGTTATGAGATTCATGCTGAAGGATTTGAGGATGAAGTTATGACTGCTGCCTGCTTTGTGGCTTTTTTAAAGTAAAAATATAATGTGCAAAGAGTAATATGGTAGATGCATGAAAATAACTTGATGAATCCAGGAAAGGAGTGTTCCCATAGGTTTTTATTCTGGCAACTTCTCTAATTTTTTTTGAGAGGCAGATATTTCATTTTAGATTTAAGTATATGGTATCTGGCTCAGTTTTGCTGCCCTTTGTATACTTATGGACTGTATATGTCATTTAGAGTATATAGAACAAAATCTTCTAAAGTCTACCATTAACACTAATTTGTCTTTTTCTTTTTTAAAGTTTTCTTTAGAGTCAATCAAGATACATCTAGATGGTAAGCTATTTTTTACCTGTACATTCACTAAAACTTTGTCTATACTGGTCCATTTTTTATAGTAAAATAAATAACCATAGAACTCATTAGTTAATGTATTTTATAAAGGGCCAGGTCTTTATATAATTTCATTCTGCAATGTGGCAAAGTCTAATACTTTACAGTCTCCTATTTTTTTGGGAAAAAATTATGTTTTATAAATGAAATTGCTTTTTCTTTTAATTGAATTACACATTTTTCCCCATTTCCTCCTCCCCTCTCTTCTCCACCCTTCCCTTGCCCCCCCCCCATGCTCCCAATTTACTCAGAATATCGTGTTTATTTCCCCTTACTAGGTGGATCTGTGTATGTCTCTCTTAGGGTCCTCTAGGTTCTCTGGGGTGGCCTGTACGCTGGTTATCCTTTGCTTTGTGTCTGATATACACTTATGAGTGAGTACATACTCACTCTGTGTCTAGGTTACCCCACCACCACCACCAGGATGGCTTTTTCTGGTTTTGTTTATTTGCCTGCAAATTTGTTGTTTTTTTGTTTTTTTGTTTTTTTGTTTTTTGTTTGTTTTAACTGCTGAGTAGTACAACATTGTGTAAATGTACCACATTTTCCTTATCCATTCTTCACTTGAGGGCTGTCTGGGTTGATTCCAGGTTCTAGCTATTATGAATAATGCTGCTGTGAACATAGTTGAGCAAATGTCCTTCGGTTGTGAGTGTGCATCCTTTGGGTATATGCCCAAAAGTGGTATTGCTGGGTCTTGAGGTAGATTGATTCCCAATTTTCTGAGAAACCGCCATACTGATTTCCACAGTGGCTGTACAAGTTTGCACTCCCACCAGCAATGGAGGAGTGTTCCCCTTTCTCCACATCCTCTCCAGCATAAGCTGTCATCAGAGATCTTGATCTTGGCCATTCTGACAGGTATAATATAGTATTTCAGAGTTGTTTTAATTTGCATTTCTCTGATGACTGAGGATGTTGAACATTTCCTTAAGTGTCTTTTGACTATTTGAAATTCCTCTGTTGAGAGTTCTCTTTTTAGATCTGTATTCCCATTTTTTTTTTTTTTTTATTGGATTATTTGGTCTATACTTTGGAGAGCAGCCCTCTGTCAGATATGCTGTTGGTAAAGATCTTTTCTCATTCTGTAAGCTGCCATTTTTGTCTTGTTGACCATGTTTTGTTTTACAGAAGCTTCTCGGTTTCAGGATGTCCTATTTATTTATTGTTGTTAGAGTCTGTGCTACTGTCCTTATATTTAGGTAGTGGTCTGTGACAATGTGTTCAAAGCTTCTTCTCAGATTCTCTTCTAAGAAGTTCAGTGTGGTTGCTTTTATATTGAGGTCTTTGATCCACTTGGACATGAGTTTTGTGTAAAAGGATAAATGTGGATCTATTTGCATTCTTCTGAATGTTGACAGCCAGTTATGTCAGCACCATTTGTTGAAGATGCTTTCTTTTTTCCCATTTTATATTTTTAGCTTCTTTGTCAAAAATGGGGTGTTCATAAGTGTGTGGATTGATATCAGTGTCTTCAATTATATTGGTCCACCTGTCTGTTTTCATGCCAATACCAAGCCATTTTCATTACTGTACAGTTTGAAGTCAGGTATGATGATGCCTCCTTTATCATACAGGATTGTTTTGGCTATCCTAGGTTTTTTGTTTTTCTATATGAAGTTGAGTATTGTCCTTTTAAGGTCTGTGAAGTTTTTGCTGGGTATTGCATTGAATCTGTAGATTGCTTTTGGTAAGATTGCCATTTTTACTATGTTGATCCTACCCATCCAAGAACATGGGATCTTTCCATTTTCTGATGTCTTCAGTTTCTTTCTTCAAAAACTTAAAGTTCTTGTCATACAGTTCTTTCACTTGTTTGGTTAGAGTTACCCCAAGATATGTTATGTTATTTGTGGCTATTATAAAGGTTGTTGTTTCTGATTTCTTTCTCAGCCCGTTTATCCTCTGTATATAGGAAGGCTACCGATTTTTTTCAGTTTATGTTATATCCTGCTACATTAGTGAAGGGGGGTTTATCAGGTGTAGTAGTTCCCTGGTAGAATTTTTGGGGTCACTTATGTATACTATCATTTCATCAGCAAATAAAGTTTGACTTCTTTTTTTCCAATTTGTGTCCTCTTGTTGTCTTATTGCTCTAGCTAGAACTTTGAGTACTATATTGAATAGATAAGGAGAGAGTAGACAGCCTTGTCTTGTTCCTGATTTCAGTGGGATTGCTTTGAGTTTCTCTCCCATTTAGTTTGATGTTGACTGTCAGCTTGCTGTATATGCCTTTATTATGTTTGTGTATGTTCCTTCTATCCCTGCTGTCCCCAAGACCTTTATCATGAAGGGGTGTTGAATTTTGTTGAAGGCTTTTTCAGCATCTAATGAGATTATCGTGTTTTTTTTTTCTTTCAGTTTGTTTATATGGTGGATTACATTAATGGATTTTCATATGTTGAACCATCCCTGCATTTCTGGGATGAAGACTACTTGATTTTGGTGGATGATTTTTCTTGGGAGTCTGTTTGCCAGTATTTTATTGAGTATTTTTGCATAAATGTTCATGAGGGAGATTGGTCTATAATTCTCTTTCTTAGTTGTGTCTTTGTATGGTTTAGGTATCAGGGTAACTGTAGCCTCCTAAGAGTTTGCCAATGCAATGTTCCTTCTGTTTCCATCATGTGGAATAATTTGAGGAGTATTGGTATTAGTTCTTCTTTGAACATCTGGTAGAATTTTTCGCTGAAACCATCTGGACCTGAAACCATCTGGACCATCTGGACCTGGGATTTTTTTGCTTGGGAGACTTTTGATGACTGCTTCTATTTCCATAGGGGTTATAGGTCTATTAATTTGTTTAACTTGTCTTCATTTAATTTTGGTATTTGATACTTATTCAGAAAATTTTCCATTTCCTTTAAATTTTTCAGTTTTGTGGAGTACAGGTTTTTGAATATGACCTGATGATTCTCTGGATTTCCTCAGTGTTCATTCTTATACCCCCCTTTTCATTTCTGATTTTGTTAATTTGGATATTCTTTCTCTGACTTTTGGTTAGTTTGGATAAAGGTTTGTCTGTCTTGTTGATTGATTTGTAAAACTCTTTGTCTCATTGATTCTTGTATTGTTTTCTTTGTTTCTATTTTATTGATTTCAGCCCTTTATTTGATTATTTCCAGCCATCTACTTCTCCTGGGTGAGTTTGCTTCTTTTTGTTCTAGAGCTTTCAGTTCTGTTAATTCGATAGTGTGATTTCTCCAGCTTCTTCATGTAGGCATTTAGTGCTATGTCCTCTTATCACTGCTTTCATTGTTCATTGTGTCCCATAAGTTTGGGCATGTGGTACTTCATTTTCATTAAATTTTAGGAAGTCTAGTTTCTTTATTTCTTCCTTGACCCATTTTTGATTGAGTTAAGCATTGTTCAATTTCCATGAGTTCATGGGCTTTCTGCAGTTAGTGTTGTTGAATTCTAACTGTAAGCCATGGTCTGAGTATGTGTTCAATTTCAGAGAAGGTCCCATGGGGTGCTGAGAAGAAGGTGTATTCTTTTGTGTTTGGGTGGAATGTTCTATAGATGTCTGTTAGGTCCATTTGAGTCATAACATCTCTTAGTTCCTTTATTTCTCTGTTTAAGTTTTTCTTTGGGAGACCTGTCCATAGGTGAGAGTGGGATGTTGAAATCTCCCACAATTAGTGTGTGGGGCTTATTGTTTGATTTAAGCTTTAGTGATGTTTCTTTTACAAATGAGGGTGCCCTTATATTTGGGACATAGATGTTCAGAATTGAGACTTCATCTTGATTGATTTTTTTTCCTGTATTGAACATGAAATCCCCTCCTTCATCTCTTTTGACTAATTTTAATTTGAAGTCTGTTTTGTTATACATTAGGATAGCTACACCAGCTTGTTTCTTAGGTCTGTCCACTTGAGGTCTGTCCCAGCCCTCTACTGTGAGGTAACGTCTGTCTTTGTATTTGAGGTGGGTTTCTTGTATGCAGCAGAAGCCTGTGTCTTTATAGGCAAATTGAGTCCATTGACATTAAGGGATAATAATGACCAGTGATTGCTAGTTTTTGTTATTTTTGTTTTGTAGCATTGTGTGTGCGTTTCTCTTCTTAGGATTTCCTGGTAGAGGATTATCTATTGCCTGTGTTTTTGTGAATGTAGCTAATTTCCTTGGGTTGGAGTTTTCCTTCTAGTACTTTCTGTGGGGTTGGATTTGTGGATAGGTATTGTTTAAATCTGATTTTTTGTCACAGAATATCTTGCTTTCACTGTCTATGGTGATTGAAAGCTTTGCTGAATATAGTGATCTGGGCTATCATCAGTGGTCTCTTCGTGACTGCATAACCTGACTAGGCTTTCATTGTTTCCATTGAGAAGTCGGGCGTTATTCTGATAGGTTTGCCTTTATATGTTACTTGGCCTTTTTCCTTTGCAGTTCCTAGTATTCCTTCTTGATTGTGTATGTTTGGTGTTTTTTTTTTTTTTTTTTTTTTGATCCAGTCTATTTGGTGTTCTGTAAGCTTCTTGTATTTTCATAGGTATGTTTTTCTTTAGGTTGGCAAAGTTGTCTTTATGATTTTGTTGAATATATTTTCTGTGCTTTAGAATGGACTTCTTCATCTATCTCTGTTATTCTTAGGTTCAGTCTTTTCATGGTGTCCCAGATTTCCTGGATATTTTGTGTTAATTTGTTGGATTTAACATTTTCTTTGACTCATGAATCTATTTCCTCTATCATATCTTCAACACCTGAGATTCTTTCTTTTGTCTTTTGTATTCTGTTGTTTATGCTTGGTTCTGTAGTTCTTGATTGTTTATCCACATTTTTCATTTCCGGAGTTTCCTTGGTTTGTGTTTTCTTTTGATTTTTCTCTTTTTTTTTTTTTTTTTTTTTTTTTGAGACCGGGTTTCTCTGTATTTTTTTAGACCCTGTTCTGGAACTTGCTCTCTAGACCAGGCAGGCCTCGAACTCAAGAGATCCGCCTGCCTTTGCCTCCCAAGTGCTGGGATTAAAGGAGTGTTCCACTAATGTCCGGTGGTTTGTGTTTTCTATTTAAATTTTTAAGCCTTGAACAGTTTTCTTCACCTGTTTGATTGCTTTTTTTGGTTTTCTTTAAGGGATTTGTTCATCTATTTCAGTTTTTTTATGTCTTTTCCTTCATTTCTTTAAGGGAATTTTTTCCTTTCTTTAAGGGCTCAATCATCTTCATAAAGTTATTTTTTTTTAATGTCGATTTCTTCTGCTTCATCTGTGTTGGGAAGTTAAGATCTTGTTGCTGTAGAACCACTAGTTCATGTTGTGGAGTGTATTCTTACCTTGTCTACCCATCTCTTTCTCCAGTTGGTGTAGTTGGTGGCTGTTGCTCTGTTGAACACTCCTTCAGGTGCAGGCAGGGTTGAGCCACCAATGATCACTCTTCAGGTGTTGATGGACCCAAGGCTTAGATGGCCTCTCCTGTCAGTGTAGGTGGAGCCAGACTCTGGTGATCACCTCTGTAGGTGCAATTGGAACTGAGGCTGAGATGGCTGGATAGTTTCTGCTGCCACTTTCCTGATGCTATCTCCTGGAGTGACCTGGACCTACTGTGGCATTGTCTTTTAGCAAGGCCAGAGGTACTTCTTCAGATAGTTTATGGAAGTTGCTGCTTTTGATGATTCTGGGCCTCTTGCTCACCACCGATGACCTCTTTCTCTCCCTCTCCTGGCTTATATTTTTGTTTTTTCAAGACAGGTTTTCTCTGTAACAGCCCTAGCTGTCCTGGAACTTGCTCTGTGAACCAGGCTGGTCTTGAACTCACAGAGATCCGCCTGCCTGTAACTCCCTAGATTGCTTCACCATGCATGGGTTGAAATTCTTCTTTGATTTTTTGAGACAGGGTTTCTCTGTGTAGCTTTGGAGTCTCTTCTGGCACTTGCTGTGGAGACCAGGCTGGCCTCAAACTCAAGAGATCCGCCTGCCTGAGTCCTGCGATTAAATACGTGCGCCATCAACGCCCGGCCTGGGTTGAAATTCTTAAGAGTAGTATAGAGGATGATAAATGACTAATTTTAAGCTTGCATTTCCTCCATTTGTGGTTTGCCAGTTTAAAAATGTATTCGTTTTTCATTTCTTGTTTCCCTCTAGGACCAGAAAGTGATCCTGTAGAGATTGTTTTAAATACCTCTGATCTAACTAAATGTGAATGGTGTAATGTCCGGAAATTACCAGTAGTGTTTCTCCAGGCAGTACCACCAATTTATCAAAAGCTGAGCATGCAGCTGCAAATGAATAAAGAAGAGAAAGTTTGGAATGATTGTAAAGGAATGAACAGGTTAACAAGTAAGTTTTGTAGACAGATCACAACTAAGATAGAATATGGTCTACTGAGTAGCAGAATAGGAGTGTTTGGAAAGTGGAAGGTTTTATCAGTCCATCATGATAAGTTGGAGCAGTGGTTGTCAGAGATCAGTCATCATCACTTACTTCATTTGGCATTATGTAATATACTAACCATGTGAAATGGGTACAGCAGCCAGCCTCTGAGGAAAAGCCCACAGAAAGTAGAAGGGCTGAAGATAAAACCTGGATTTATCTAAACTGTTTAGAAGTTTTCTAATTGGGTTAAAACTCAAAAGATCTGAAGTCTGTAACACTAAAGTGAATTTCACTGATGTGACTGCTGAGTTAACTTCCTGTAAGAAGCTGGAGCTAGGAAACTTTGAAGTACGTGGAAGAAGTCTGTATTCTTTAAAAAGATGCAGTTCTTTAGTGTGTGTCATAGCAACACAGCTGTTCATATAATAAGTACATTTGGGCTAGAGAGACGGTTCAGTGGTCAAGAGCACTTACTGGTCTTGCCGAGTATGTGGGTTTGTTGCTCAGCACCCTCATGGTAGTTCACAATTATCTATAACCCCAGGTTTAGGAGGTGTCCTCTGCTGACCTCTGTGGGCACTAGGAACATAAGTCCTACATGACATACATGAAGGCAAACACACACACACACACACTAATTTATTAAAAAATTATACATTTTAGCATTAATTGCAGCTTCAGCTTAGCAGTGAGTAAATGCTAATATAACTGTAAAATCTGGCATATTAGTGAGCACCAGCTTTGCCGGTCTCATCTGAAGATAATACTATGTTCTTGACGTTTTCTTAATCCTTCTTGGCAGAAATGCTAATTGATAAGGATTTATGACCATGAATTAGTTTTTAATTCTTTTAGAATTGTGGTTTGTCAACCTTCCTAATGCTCTGACCCTTTAATACAGTTCCTTATGTTGTGGTGACCCCCCACCATAAAATTTCATTACTGCTTAATAACTGTAATTTTGCTACTGTTATAAATCATACCATAAATGTCTAGGATATCTGATATGCAAGCCCTGTGGGATCATGACCCACAGGTTGAGAACTGCTATTTTAGAAGAAGCAGATTGCTTACATTTTTTAAATAGCTTTGTTAATGTGCTACTACTGAATTTGGTTCCTTTGTTTTGGTAACTTAACATTTCTAGATAACACTGATCATTTTTCCAGTACTAATGTGTGTCCCCTATGTACTAAACACTTATGGATATATATATTCCAGAACTTATAATCACCTAGGAAATAGTTGATACTCTTCTTATTTGTGTGTGTAAATGCACATGTGTATGCAAGCATGTGTGTACATATACAGATGTGGAAGCCCAAGGTCAACCTCAGGTATTGTCCAACTTTTGAGACTATCTTTCACCGCCCTTGAGACTTACCATGTAGGCTGGACTGGTGGGTATGCAAACCATGGATCTGCCTGCTCTGTCTTCCCATCACTGGTATTACAAGCCTGTTCCACCACATCCAGCTTGTTATGTGGGTCTGGAAATCAAACAGGTTCTTTCTCATGCTTGGGTGGCAAACACTTTACTGAATGAATTATCTCCTCAACACCCCCACCCCCCACCCCCAAGAGAAAGTGTGTTTGTATTCACTATGTAGCCCAGGCTTTCCTCAAACTCTTGGCAGTCCTCCTGCCTTCAGTTTACAAGTGTTGGAATTAAAGACACAAGTCACCATACCTATCACTTGTTAGTATGTTCTAAAATTGTTTATTACTTATTTTTTTTCTTTCAGCCTTATAGTTATATTTATTTCTTTACAGGTTTAGAAGAACAGTACATTATTTTAATTTTTCAAACTGGCCTTGATCCTCAGGCAAATGTGGTCTTTGAAAGTATCATTACTGACATTGGTATAAAGAATAATGTTTCCAACTTTTTTGCGAAAATTCCTTTTGAAGAAGCCAATAGCAGACTTGTTGCCTGTACAAGAAGCTATGAAGAGAGCATCAAAGGAAATTGTGTGCAAAAAGAGAACAAAGTGAAAACTGTAATTATATTTAAAAATCTTATAGTAGTTTTAATAATGTGTAATTCTGTTTGTTTTTTGTGATGCTGGGGATCAAACCCAGGGCTTCTGCATATGCTAAGCAGATACCTTGCCACTGAGCCACACCCTCAAAAATAATGAGTAATTTTAAAATTAAATGTTTTAACATTGCTCATTTTAATGTTAGACTTCAAAAATACCATTTTAAAATGAAATTTAAAACAGCATTTGGTACAAATTTTGGGATCTTTTTTAGTTCTTTTCTACAATGTTCTTTTCTTTTTCTCCCATCTTTGTTTCTGTACTTCATTCTGAGCATACATTTACAGACACTGCTCATTCAAATAGGTTGTTACCCTGTGTCCTAGAGCTGAGGCTTAGGTCCCCTGTGCATGGTACACATTTGTTTTAACATAATTGACAACATTGGAAGTAAAGGATATATTCTGACTTTGTCAAAAAGTGCACACAGTTATATAGAAGGGACTCAGAGTTAGGTAACTTGCAAGCTGTGTGAACCATAGGCCGTGATAGAACTCTTAACATTTTCTACAGCTATTAGGTTTTACTAGTTTTGGGTTTTGCTCAGTTTATTGGGAATAAATCTCTCAACCTGGTACAAACTTAGAAATGTGGGCTACTCGGGCCATAATTTTAATGGGGTTTCTTCGTTTGTTTCAGGGTCTTGCTATATAAGCTGACCACAAACTGGCTGTCCTGCCTGCTGCATATGTTAGGTTTTGAGACTACACCTGTATTCACCACACGCAGCTAAAAACTCTTTTTTTCTTACCATTTCATTTTTGAGATGGGTCTCACTCTGTAGCTCTGGCTAGCCTATATCTACCCCCAAGACACAGTCTTGATAACTGAACTAGACTTCATACATGTAGTGGGTGGTGGGGAAGAGGAGGAGGGGAAATCCTGCCTCTCTTGCAGAGATAAAACCACAGAGCAGGTGGAATGGACTCAGGGGTCCCTCTAGTAAACTCTTAAGCTCACTTAGCTGTATATTCTCAGTGCCTGTGCCCCACTTCCTGCAGGCTGCCTAACCTTTGAACTAAGGTAGGTTTCCTTTACTTTGAGAAAAAAAAAACAACTACTACTTTAGGATTTGTTTTACTTCATAGGTTCTTCAATTCTTTCCAGTCTGATTCAATATGAATAGTCAAAATAAAAAACTGGAAAGCCATTATTACATATTGTCTGGGAGCTACAGGTGAAAGCTGTAGCTTCTTAGTCTCTGAATATATACTTATTTATTTTGTGGCAGGATCTTGGCTGCCCTCAAACTCACTTTGGAGACCAGGCTGTCTGAAGCCTGCAGTGAGCCTGCTCACATCTCCTGTCTCCTGAGCGTTTAGGTTATAGGTGTGCATTTTCCATTGAAACACCTTTTCTGCCTTGCTCTTTCTATTTAAAAAAAAAAAAAAAATACCAGTTAACTTCATGATTTGATTATTTTCTCTGCCAGGTGTCCTTTGAATCTAAGATACAACTTAGAAGCAAAAAAGAATTGCAGTTTTTTGATGATGAGGAAGAAGCTGGAGAGAGCCACACCATCTTCATTGGCCCTGTAGAAAAGTGAGAAAATTCTTCTATATTTGAAGTACTTAAAAAAACAAGTCTGTTTCTGTGTTTAGTAATGTGTACTTCTTTCTTTACTATAGATTGATAGTGTATCCACCACCTCCAGCTAAGGGAGGCATCTCTGTTACCAATGAGGACCTGCACTGTCTAAGTGAAGGAGAGTTTTTAAATGATGTTATTATCGACTTTTATTTGAAGTAAGTTGGCTAATTTATTAGTAAGCCTTCTGTCATTGTATATCCTTTTAAATCTTTGTTTTCTAAAGTCAGACTAATTTGATTGGAATTTTGGTCACTGCAATATACTCTGACACTTAAGAGAAAACCTCTACTCAAGTATTTTATTGTGCCTGTGTTTCCACATTTAAAAATGAGAATAAAGGGTTGTAAGACTTGAATGAAGTAATAATATTTGTGAGGTAGTAAGGACAGTGTCCAGCACAGTTTTCATAAATGCTACCTTATCATGTGTATTTACTGGTATGTGTAATGAAAGGACATTACATACATGTACTCACATACATGAAACAAAATTGAACTTATATGCAGGCTGTTTTTCTATTTTATTCCAGCATATCTTGTAATGCAAAACGTTTTTTGAAAGCTGCAAAATTGATTTAATAGCCTACTAGTAGTATTCACCCTATACTTTTTGAGGGAAAAGGCATGTAACTCCATCTCCAGGGGCTCCGATACCCTCCCTCTTCTGGCCTCCTCTGGCATCAGCACTCACATGCACACAAAACATAAAGCAGGAATAACATATATTTAATGATGTTTTAGGTGGGGTTATGGTTCAGCTTGGCTTCGATAGGAACACTTGGCTAGCATATGTGAAATCCTTACAAATTTTATGCCTAATTGTTCTATAAAATTATTACAAAGGATTGTTGAAATCTCCAGATGTGCTGTCTTTAAAGCCACCTGTATTTTGAAGTCCCATTGGTAGGAAAATTTGCTTTTATATCTTGGAGAATTAACCTTTATCATTATATGATACCCTTTCTTATCCCTGATCTTCCTGTTCTTGGGTCTGCTTTGTTGACAGTGGAGATGGTTTTGTTTTGTTTTGCTTTTCACTTTCATGGCAAGCATTTCCTCCTTTTACTTATAACTCTGTATTTAGTATTTGGGGGTGGTTGTTGTTGTTATTTTTGCAACAGAGTCTCATATATCCCAGGCTGGCCTCAAACTTACAGTGTAGCTGAGGATGACCTTAGACTTCTGACCTTGCTTCCTGGGATTGCAGGAGTGTACCACCAGATCCAGCAAGGAGCTGAAAACTTGTTTGTGTGTTGTTTGCAGAATAAACCTAGGGCTTCATACATGCTAGGCAAGCACTCTGCCAACTGACCCCTGATATTCTTCTTATTGTTTGTGCTTCATACTTAAATAATCTTAAGTTTTTGTATTATACTAAAAACTTAGTTTGTAGTCCTGACTTTATTTAGTACTTACATTTATAGTTAAGTTTCCAATTAAATTTTATATAATAAATGTTGCCAAAAGCCGGGTGGTAGTGTGGCACACGTCTTTAATCCCAGCACTCGGGAGGCAGAGACAGGTGGGCCTCTGTGAGTTTGAGGCCAGCCTGGTCTACAAAGCTACACAGAAAAACCCTGTCTCAAGAAAAAAAAAAAAATGTTGCCAAACTTTCTTTGGACTCTCAGCTCCTAAATAATGACACAGACTTCTTATTAATTATGAAAGCTGGGCCTTAGCTTAGGCTTGCTCCCAACTAGAGCTTAAAAACTAAATTAACCATTTATATTAATCTACATTTTGCCATGTGTCTCTTTACCTCTTCTCCATATGGTACGTCCAGTTTCCTCCATGTCTTGGTGGCTGATCTCCACCTCTCTGATCCTTCTCAGAGTTCCTGTCTCTGTCCAGAAGTCCTGCCTGTCCTCCCCTGCCTAGCTATTGGCCGTTCAGCTCTCGGTTAAACCAATCAGAAGGTGCCTTGACAAAGACTTATCTTCATAGTGTACAAAAAGATTATCCCATAATAAATAAACCTCTGATATAAAATGTACACAGTTAATAAATCTAGGAAAATACATACTTTTAAATTTTTATTAGTATCTCTAATGATGTTTTCATTAGTGAAATAAAAGGACAGTTTTTCTTGTTCTGTGGAATTTTGTTGCAGTATTTTTTAACTCTGTGTGTGTGTGTGTGTGTGTGTGTGTGTGTGTGTGTGTGTGTGTCTGTGTCTCTGTGTCTCTGTGTCTCTGTGTGTGTTGTGCTGTGCATAAGTACCCACCAAAGCCAGAAGAGTATCAGATCCCCTGGAACTGGAGTTATAGGGAGTTGTAAGCTGCCCAGGTAGTTATTAGGAACTGAACTGGGGTCCTCTGGAAGAGAAGGAAGCACATTTAACTGCTGGTGTCTCTCCAACTTCTTATTTTACTTGTTTGAAAAAGGGTTTTGGGACTAGGGAGATGGTTCACTGGGTAAGAGTGCTTGCTCTGTAAGCAAGAGACCTCAGCTTGAATCCCCAGCTCTTGTGTACAAAGCCTAGCTGCCTATACTTGCCTGTGACCTCAGCACCAGGGGAGGGTGAACAGAGACAAGCAGAACCACAGAACTAGCTGGCCAGCTAGTCAAAGCTATAATAGAGTGATAGATGAGAATTAATGTCTTTAAAGACAGAGGTTTAGAGGCTGGAAAGATGCCTTACCAGTTAAGAGCACTTGCTGTTTTTGCAGATGATCTAGGTTTAGTTTCTAGCACCCATGTGGTAGCTTACAGCTGTCTTTGACTCCAGTTCCAGGGGATCCAGTATCCTCTTCTGACCTCCCTGGGCCCCAGGCACACATAAATACACAAAAATATATGAAATACTTTCCATTTCCTAAAGGTATTTTGGTGACTGTTGTATTTGGTACATGAAGTAAACTTCATTTCTTAAAGATGGTGATTATTTTATCTGAATAAGTGATTATCACTGCTTGATTGTTGTCTATTGAGTGAACTGTAATCCATTATATGATCATTGTTTTTGCTTAAAATAGGTACTTGGTGCTTGAAAAACTGAGGAAAGAAGATGCTGATCGAATTCATATATTCAGTTCTTTTTTCTATAAACGCCTTAATCAGAGAGAGAGGAGAAATGCTGAGACAACTAACCTGTCGTAAGTCAAATCTCAACAATTCATTAGTTATTCCTTGGTATCCTTGGGTATTAGTTCCCCATATCTCCCATGAGGTATCGCATTTGCAGACGTTCATGTGCTGTAGATGCAATGCTGCAGTATTTGCATTTGACCTGTACATATTCTCTTCTGTCAATACTTTATAGAATACTCATACTGTAGTGTAACACATTAGATATTTGTTGGGCTTTGTTCATCAGTGAGTAATGACAAGGAAAAGGGTCCATATGTGTCTTATGGGTATACTTTCCCTCAAAAAATATTTTCTATCCACAATTTGTTGAATTCAAGGATGCAAAATGAAGGGCCCTTGATATTTGAAATCAAAGCCCAGCAACATCCCCACAGATCTGTATTCACTTGCTTGTTTCTTGAGTGTGCCACTGGGAAAAGCACTCTAGCTGAGTTCTGTCATTTTTCTCATGGATTTATGTTCAGCTGCCTTAATTATATTGTACTAATTTTAAGGGGTAACTGTTGAAAAATCATTTTTCTTCTGTTGAGCAACAAACATCATTTATTTCTGTTTCCATTCTCTTAAAAAAAAAACGATATCCTTAATAATATTCTGCTGGTTTCAGAATACCTAGAGTTCAGAGGTTGTGGGTCCAATGCCTAGAACAGTGGGACCCAAATTGGTCTTATTTGTATTTCTTAGACCGTTATTATTGTGCTTTGCTCTGAGTGTGTCCCCTCAGTGATTCAGAGAGGAAACCTCAATCTGTTTTGTTTTCTCTTGTTTTTTGTTTTTGGTGAGCTGGACACTGAGCCGGAGCCTTGCTTGTGCTAGGCAAACAGGTGTTCTTTACCACTGGGCTGTAATCCCACCTTTAATCTGTACTTTTAATAAACTGTTAGAATGATTGTTCTCAAAATAGTTAAGGAGTGTCTATTCTGCTATCACACCTAAGTTCTTTATAGTTCCTCTCTATATAATGATGGCATTCAGGCCTTAGACTTAGCTTTAATTGGCCAAAAGATTCAACTTACACTGAAATGTCTTGAGTTCAGACTGCCATGCCAGATATAAATTCTATTTCCTACTTTCTACAAAGTTCCTAATTTTCTATCATAAACTAGAGATAGATTTTTGAGATTGTGCATAACATTGCATGGTTTACTTATTCCTTTCCTTTCATTTACCAGTAAGTCATACTTGGATAAGTATCTCAGTATATTTGCTAATAGAAATACTGCACCAGTAAAATGGTAGAGACAGAAGAAATTCATCAAGGAGAAACACTGCAATTTCCCAGAATGTTGTAAAATGAACTAAATATCCTTCCCTGCAGATTCCATCATGCGGTTTCATGCCCTCCCTTTCTGGCTTCATCTGAAACACTGTTCATGGGCTGGAATGATGGCACAGTGTTTAAGGGCACTTACTGCTCTTGCAGAGGGCTGGGGAATCCAATGCCTGCCACTGACTTGAGGGCACCAGACGCACACACATGTGATACATATACATGTGGGCAAAACACTCATACACATAAAATAAAGATGAACATATTGTTTGAATTTAAGATACCATGTTCTTTCCTCAGCTTGTTAAGACATTAAGTGAAACTGAGAAGGTATGACAGCGGAATGTTCCAAATTTTTAAGTCACTGCATATAAGTTGTAACTATAATGACACTTTACAAGGTGATTATCTTTTTCTTACAGAATACAACAAAAACGACATGGGAGAGTAAAAACATGGACCCGACATGTAGATATTTTTGAGAAGGATTTTATTTTTGTACCCCTTAATGAAGCGTGAGTAAAATTCTATATGAATTAAAAATACTTATTTTATTAAAGTAAGCATAGTTCTCTGTTGACTCATAAGATACATAATTTTAGGCACACATCTTTAATCCCAGCACTCAGGAGACAGAGGTAGGTAGATCTCTGAGTTTGAGGCCAGCCTGGGTCTACAGAGGGAGTTCTTGGACAACCAGGGCTACACAGAGAAACCTGTCTTGAAAAAAATACCCAACAGAATTTTGTAGAGTATGTTATACAGCTTCTAATTTTATCTTATTGGACAGAGTATAAGTAAGTCATTTTTAAAAATGATGCTTGTGTGGTATAAGATAGTCTGTGGAGATTACCTTATTTGATGAAATGATTGGGGCACATAGACAAATGTGATTCTTTCGTTTAAAATTTGCTTACATTTAACAGGAAAGGAAAAGGTGGATGAACTTATGCCATTCACTAAAACTAAAGCCATGCTATCTCAGATTACTATTTTCCAGTGACTGTGACAGTATTGATAGATCATACAGCTTTATCATGTGATTAAGATTTGAGAGTTTGTGTTTCTTTCTTTGTTTGCTTTTACTTTAAAGACCATTTGAAAGAATCTGGTCATTTTTTGATTTGTGTGAATGAAGAAGTACCATTCTTATTCTGCAAAAGGTATTTGTTTTATGGTATGCATTATGATTTATTTTTGTACTCTGCTTAGACAAATGAGGAAATGCCTTACTTTGGCTATTTTTATCTCTTTATAATTGGAATGGTTACTAAAATTAGTATTATGTAGGATAATTTATATGTAAGAAGCCTTGTTGTGTGTCACACTGGATTGTAAATTTTGAATGTGTACTAATTATCCATTCTTTTTTTTTTGTAAAGTAAATTCACTTTGTAATATGAGCAAACCCTTTTAAAAATGTTTTTGACATGTGTGACTGTAGTCATGGCTTCTTGGGAGTTTAAGGCACAAAGATTACTTTAACACAAGAATTTGAACTTAATTTAGACAGCATAGTAAGATCACCTCTTAAAACAGATAATAAGCACTATGTTTTGGGGCCTCGAGTATAACTTAATAACAGGCTGCTTGGCTGGTTTGTGGAAGGCCCTCAGTTCTATTCCTTTTTTTATTTTATTTATTTCCTTTTTAAAGACAGGGTCTCACTATGTAGCTCCGGCTTGCCTGGAACTTGACTGGCCTCAAACTCAAGAGACAGCCTGCCTCTACCTCTGCCTCCTTAGTGCTGGAATTAAAGGCAATGACCATCATACCAGGCTCCATTTGACCCTTTTAACACTACGACCAAAACCAGTCTTTGACCTTTGTACTGAGTGTCATCATATGAAGAGATAGCACTGTTTAATACCCATGGAAAAAGAAATACTTACCTAATGATGTCAGGGTGTTCAGATTGGGGATGTAGTTCAGTGGCAAGGTGGGTACTTGTCTAACATGCTAAAGATCCTGGGTTTGATCCCTAGCAGTGGATGAAAAGGTGTTTTCTCCTAAGAAGACATTTATTGGACATCCTACTACATGGAAAATATTCTACTCCACTAATAAGTCCTCTTTCATCTATAGCCTACCAATTGCCAGCTGACACGTAGCCCTATGACTGGTAAATAGAAAGTTGTTAACGACTATTAGGCTATACCATATGTCTTTTTTTTTCTGGTGGACTATACAGTTGATAGATGTGATACCTGAATATAGCAACATCATGAACTTGCACTTGATAGCTAAAACTAAAACTCCTTACTAATACTTGAGATTTTATAACAATGCCTAGATTAGATATGATGTTTCCTTTTAATTGTAATTCATTTACATTTCAGCATAGTATAAGGCTAAAGATTATTTAGATATAATATACTATTTATAATAAGCCTTTCTAAACAATAGGAAGAGACATGATAAAACAATTTGAATGGATCTTTCATCCCAAAAACAAAGATTCAGAAGATTGCTTGCAAGAATAAATGCAAAAAAAAAAAATAGTGGTCATTATGGTTAGCCACTGATAAACAAGTAAGAACTGTTATAAACAATACAAGAATTTTAAAAGACCCCTTGCTTACTCACCAACTTGTAAAAAATAGCATTTCTACTGCTAGTTATTGACAACCATGATGAACTTTTCCAGTGATATGTTTAGTAGTGTTGTTTGTTTTTACAGTGCACACTGGTTTTTGGCTGTTGTTTGTTTTCCTGGTTTGGAAAAACCAAAATATGAACCTAACCCTCATTACCACGAAAATGCAGTCATACAAAAAAGTTCAACTGCACAGGACAGTTGTGTTTCTTCTGCCAGTGAAATGGACAGTTGTTCACCAAACTCTTCTGCCAAGCCCGTGATTAAGAAGATGCTAAACAGAAAGCATTGCTTGACTGTCACTGCGTCCAGTGCTGGACAGGAAGAAAGTGAGCCTTGTTATCGGAGAAACACATACAGTGTGAAATGCAGTGTGAAAAAAAAAAATCATGCTATAAGTGAAAACGAAGAATCAAATAACAGAGAATCTGCATGCCACGAAGTTACTGATAGAACTAAAAGTGAGAATGACCTACAGGATGAATGTTTAAATTCTGTACATCATCCAGGTATGTACTGACATATTATGAAAGAGTAAAAGAGTTCAAAATAGAATTGTTAATTATGCATTTTCTCCTGTCAGACTTACTGAGGTAGAATTTACTTACAGTAACATTAACTCATGTTGTGGGTGTTGCTTAAGTTTTATTAATGTATTCAGTCATGTAATCATTATGACAAACAACATTTAGACTCTTTCCATTACTCAATACTACCAATAATGTAAAATAGTTCCTTTTTGAACACTAGTCTTACATGCTTTAATATGAGATGAGATGAATGAACTGAGTGGCTTTATGCATTGGAGCACAGCTTAGGGCTTTTTATACACCAACTGCAGAGCTTCCAACTGTCTCCTGCAAGTTGTTGTTTGGTTGAGTAGACAGTTATATTTGAAGACAGTCTCAAAATTCTAGTGGAGACTAAAGTACAAAATAATGTTTTATGTAGGTTTCATAATTAGCATGTTTGTCTTTTTCTTGTAGCTTTGTGTTTGTTTTCCATTCATATGCATGTACCTATATCAATTATATCATAATTAAAGGGAAGATCTGTGAAACTAGTGTTTCACAAAACAGTTTGTTGTTTGTGTGAGTGCTAACACTAATTCTGTTTTTTTAAAGCTTGCTTTAATTCAGTGCTGGCAGCATTGCAGTTTGAGAAGTGCTCTAGAGTGAGGTGGTTGATTCCCTCCACTCTGTGCCTCCCCCTCCCCCCCCCACCCACACACACAAAGTAAGGATGGTCTCTAAATGTGACTTTCCCACCCAAGAGAGAATGACTAACTGGTCTTACAGTGATGGCACATGAAAAGTTGAGCTTAGAAGAAGTTTGTGCCCTGATTACTGCCTAAGTAGCAAAATCCTATTTGGCCTGGCAATATAGTTCAAAAGATGTATTTTAAATAGTTTGCATAATTTTAACTCTCTGATCCATGTGGTTAACATGTGTTTGCTAATAGTGTCAGATAACATTCCACAGTAAATAAATAGGATTTTGTTTGCAGTTTTAAAGTCAGCTGCTGGAAGGTAATGTATGAGATCGCTACTTACCATTTTGTTTTTTCATCTGGACATCTTGTAAAATAATTGATGGAGGAAGTGAGGAATATGTGGATTTAAATTTTACAGTCACACTCAAATATGTAGAAAGAAGATAAATAAAATGTATTCCTGAAAAAGATATATAAATCAACATACTACTTAAAATAACTAACCAGGCACAAGGTAAACCTCCTGTTATACATACAATAACCTCTTTAATTTGTCTGTTTCAGAACATAAAAGTTAAGCAGGGTTAGGTTTGGTTAGTACTTGAATGAGAGAAAGTAATTTAAATAATTCAGCTCTTAAGAAGTATCTTTCTTTCAGACTGGGTATAGTGGTGCACACCATTAATCCCTGCACTTAGGTGGCAGAGGCCAGGGGATCTCTGAGTTTGAGGCTGATTGGTCTGTGCAGTGAGTTCTAGGTCAGCCAGGGCTACATAATGAGGCCCTGTCTAAAGAATAGGGGATGGAGAGGGGGGAGAAGACCCAGCAGCCATGATTAAGAGCATATTACTGCACTTCAGAAGAACCCAGGTTCAATTCCCAGCACCCACATCAGGAGGTAATTCCAGCTCTAGGAGAATTCTACACTTTCACCTCTGGCCTCTGGGGGCACCTGCACATACCCAACACACATATACACACTTAAAAATAAATAAATAAATAAAGCATATATTTATATGGTTTCTCTGTGACTTTGGAGGCTGTCCTGGAACTAGCTCTTGTAGACCAGGCTGGTCTCGAACTCACAGACATCCACCTGCCTCTGCCTCCCAAGTACTGGGTTTAAAGGCATGCACCACCAATGCCCGGCTAACAAAAGCATCCTTTAAAAAGCATTTATATATTTACTGTGTTCGTGTGTGCTGTATATATACATACTTCTCTGTGTGTAGATCAAAGCATAATTTTCAGGAGTCAGTTCTCTCCTTCCAACATCTAGATTCTGGGGATTGAATTTAGGTTACCAGCCTTGGTGGCAAACATTTTTACACAATGAGCCTTGTTTATATTAATTAAAAAATAACACTTTATAGCTTTTGTAACCTAGATTGAAGTAAACTTTTCCTCATAAAATGCCTAAAAGTCATTTGTGAATTTTTGAAATGTTACACACTCTTTTAAATAGTACTGGTGTATATGACTCAGTTTTTGTGTAAATTTTAAATTTCTGTTAACTACTTGGTTTGACAAGCTTCTTTTAGCAAAATAATTGATTTTTAACAATTTTGATTCTTCTAATGAACTTTTAAGAATATCAGTTCAGTTTTATCCTATGATAAACTATGTGGTACTAACACCTATGTTGGTTTGTGGGGTTTTATTTTATTGAAAAATAGTAATGTAACCAAACTTAGAAAATAAACAGTTGGGAAGTCTTGTTTATAGCTAGTATCCTAACGTGATGGTCATGTTCATACTCCCCTCCCCTCCCCTTCCCTCCCCTCCCCTCACTTTTCTTTTCCCTAGACAGAGTTTCTTTGTCTAACAGTCCACGCTGCTCTGGAACTCACTTTATAGACCAGGCTGGCCTGGAACTCACAGAGACCCGCCTGTCTCTATCTCCTAAGTGCTGGGATTAAAGGTGTGAGCCACCACTGCCTGGCATATTATTATTTTTCTGATTCATGCAGAAGCAAGTCTATTTATTTGTACTGTTTTTACCTTTTGCTTTTTCCATGTTTGCATAATTTTAATCTTAAAAGTATACATTTTTTCATCTTGTATTCTATGTTATGGTTTGTAGTTTTGTTTGGGAATTACTGTTTTTAGACTCCTAACAGCTTTCTGTTTGCTGTCTGGCACACCCATACATACACATAGATAGATTTATACACAGATTTATATAAACTTGTTTTTATTTTTTCATAAGTTTCAGGTAATAGAGTAATAGAACAGTTCTGTAATTTGACATCAACCCATGTTTTTATTTAAAAATAACTTGCTTTATATTTGTTGAGTTACATGCTGTAGCAGATTTTTGTATCTTCAGCTGTCATTTATTACTAGTATTCATTTTAAGTAGTCTATCCTCTGGGTCATAGGCATGGGCTTTTTACCATACAGTGTTTCCTGTTGATGCAGATGCCTTAAGCAAAATCAGACTAAACTACGGGGATCAGTCAGCTGAAGGTGGCAAAATGCTTGAAGATGAACTCATTGACTTCTCAGAGGATCAGGATGACCCGGTAAACTCAGATGCTTTGTAAGAATCTGTTACAGAATCTTAGAAGCCATTCCTTCAGCCAGTGACAGAAATAGTGTGGTTTCCAGATTTGGTTTGTATTTCAAAACAAAACCAGTTTTCTATTTCGAAGTTCCCAGGATACATGTATTACTGTTATTGAAACTGAAGTTTCAGAGATAGTTTATTTAAATTATGAGAAAAATTCTTGAGAAACTGTAACATACTATTTCTTACCTTTTCTTTTTAAAAGTTATATTTGTTTGTTTTGTGTTGGGGTACACCTACATACCACATACCACAGTGTTCATGTAGGAGTTAGAGCACACTTGCAGGAGTCGTTTCTCTCCTTTCTCCATGTGGGTCCTTGAGATCATACTCAGGTTTCTGGTTTTAGTGCTAGTGGGTTAGTTGTTCACCTAGTAGTAAAGATACTTTATGCTGCACAGTTTTTCTTTTTGCTCAATCTGGTGGGGGTGTGTTTTGTGTATTATCCCTTAGTTTGTAATATATAGCTGTAAGATACTCATTATAGACCATGACTGTAAATAGTATAGGCCTCAGTATTTCCATTTAAAAATGTAGGTTGAGATATGATTAAAATTTTGAAGGTTTTTTACATTTAAACAATTTATATAGACTTTACATGATACAAATATCAGAAGTTTGAAACAAATTTCTTCGCACTACATTAGATGGGGATGCCCGTGCAGTGGAAAGGAAGATAGCTTATATTTTCCAGCCATATTATTATAAGGCCATGGATAACTCAGAAATGACTTTCATTTCACAGGATTAAGTGGAAAGGAAAAGCTAGCAAAAATCCATCTTCACCATATGTGAAGGACACTAAAGGCCTGGTGGGATGGCTTATTGGGCAAAGGACTGACTGTACCTGCTGCCAACCTGAGTTGTGTCACGAAGGAGAGAAAACTGACTACATAAAGTTGTCCCCTGACCTCCACCTGCATGCTCACACGCATAGACACTTAATATACACTTATAATAATAACAAATAAATCCTTAATGTTAGTGCTCTAGCATCGGATAAATTTATTTAGAGTAGCAGGGTCAATTGCCTTCCAGGGACTAAAAGTGCTGCCATTATGTTGGAAGGAGTTTTGTATACAGTGCTATTTTCTTAGATTATCAGTTATTTCAATAGCAGATTCTTAATAATTAATCAAAGACTGTCTTTTATAGGATGATAGCAGCGATGATGGACTCCTTGCTGATGAAAACTACACTTCAGAAATAGGACAGTGGCATTTAAAGCCTACTGTCTGTAAACAGTAAGCATTGATTGACTACATCCTGCAAGCTGTGTGATTTTTTTTTTTTTTGAGTCATATAATAAAACACAACAGAACAATTCTTACTTAAGCAGAATTCAAGTGTTCTTGGGGATAGGGAGGGAGGAAAAGTGGGTATGCTGTCCAGAGATGCAACAGGGAGGCCATTTCTGGTTTCCACTTTGCAGTTTTCCCAGGCCCTGCTCCCATAGGTGCTTATATACCTTCATAGTGAACCACTGTAACTTTGTGTATAATGTTTTTGAGAAGAAAATACCATATGTAATCAAATCAGTAACATGAAGTTGGCAGTTAATGTGAGTTCCATAGCTACTTGAAGTGGGCAGAGAGTGACTGAAGGCCATCCCACCCTACAGGCATGTTTCCTATTTAGAGACTCACTCAGATTTGACAGAATTCTAAGAAAGGATGTTCACCCTCTTCGTATCCTGGCATATCTGAGACTGTTTGCATTAGGGACAGGGTACAGGTGGGAACCATGAAGATAAAGGAAGTCTTCACCAATTTCAGAAGTATACGTGTGTCCTAAAGTATGCCCTGAGACTACCAAACCCATTAAGTGATACAGTACTGCCTAGTACTACACTTATTATCTCCTTTTACTTTGCTGTGGAAAATGTTAGCAAAAACTGCATTAATGGACCTTGAAAAACAAATGTCATTTATAAAAGAAAATATCGATATTTAGAGAAAATATAACTGATAGTTAAGAGATCTGTATGAGGCCTGATTACTGAGCTCAAGTTAGATGTGTTCTTAGTATGCTCAAGGCTCTGAGTTCAGTCCTTAGCAGAGAGGGGGGGGGGGGGATAGAATGGAGGAGAGAAAAGATAAACATTTTGGATTTATTTTGGCACATTGGATTTCCTCATTTATTTTGAGTTTACAACATACTTTTACAAAATTAAAATTCAGAAGATCTGAGTTACATAGAATGTTCTAAAATAAAATCTTGCCTAAAAAGTATATTGTATCATAAACAAATTCTTGGGATTAACTGTTTGGTTTTCTGTAACAAACAACTGTAGTTTACAATAGTTCAGCAGGCAGGGCTATATGCTGGCAAGCCTGATGCCTTGAGTAATGATCCCGAGAACCTGTATAGTGGAAGGGGAGAGCTGGTCCCTTTAAGTTGCCATGGTACATGTATGTGCATATACATGCTAACGTACAATACTTACTTTTGTTCCTTTTTATTATGCTGCAGTTACATTACTATTTTGTAACATGATGTTTAGTATTACCATAGATACCTAAATTTCCTATGTCTGTAAGGTTTCCTTTCCCTCCTGAGTATTTACTGAAACAAAAGTAAATTGCAAGGTTTTTAATCATATTAATACACTATTTTAAATTTTCTTGCTCATATGTAACACCACAATTCATATTTAACTTTTTTATTATTTCTGTCCTGTAGACCTTGTATCCTACTTATGGACTCACTCAGAGGCCCGTCTCGGTCAAATGTTGTCAAAATTCTAAGAGAGTAAGTTTAAAACTGTAACCTACCTGTTTGATATACTGTAGCTGAGGCAGCAGTATTTACATGTGTGTGTTCTTGGTAGGTATTTAGAAGTAGAATGGGAGGTTAAAAAAGGAAGCAAAAGAAGTTTTTCCAAAGATGTTATGAGAGGTTCCAACCCAAAAGTTCCACAACAGAACAACTTCAGCGACTGTGGCGTATACATACTGCAATATGTAGAGAGCTTTTTTGAGGTGAGTTTCAGTTCATTGTATCTGGCGAAATAATGAAATGTATATTTGAACACAATAAGAAAATAATTCATCTTTAAAATAATTCTAAGGAACAAAAACTCTGAAGTTAGAGGCTCTTTAGGATGTAAAAATACTGTAATTATTGATTCTAGGCTTGTGGAACATCTCTGATCGACTTGACCTCTCCACTAGCTTATTTTTTTTTTAATCTTAGCAAGTCTCTCCTGTGGTTGATGCTGTTTCATCTGTCCATTCCCATCTACACGAAAGCACGCACGCCTCTCAAGTCTCTGAAATGTGATACCCTCCCTACCCTAATGTAGAAAGCTTTCTTGACCTCCGGCACCCTTTCAGCTGTTCCTTCTTCATTCTCATCCTGCAGCATGGCTCTCCACATACCTCTCTGAGAACTCTGTATTCCTGTGACTCCTTTTTAACCACTGTTGATTGAATGAACCACTGAATCTTTTTTAAAGTCACATGTGTACATTACTGCATTCCTGCTGCCACTTTTCAAGTCCAGTATGCCAGTGGAATTCTCATGCCTTCTGCTCTTCGTGGTCATTTTCCAAAAACTCTTACCGGATTACTCTTACCAGGTTTATGTTTGGTGGTTCCCTGGTGCAATTGAGCTAAAGAACAAAACCCTTCTGGTGCCTGTACATAGCTGTATTCTGGCCAGTCGGTAGTCATTCTGTTTCTTTCCGTGTCATGTCTCCAGGCCTCGAACCTCACTTGCCTGATGCTTCTGTCATTCTTTGGCTGGCTAACATCTTCTTACTTTCCGGATTTGTCTAAATGCCAGACCAATGGTGTTTATTCTCATTGCACTTCATACTTTTCCTGTCATAGTGTTTCTCAAGGTCAATTGTCTTTATCTAGCATGATGCTGGCAGTCTTTTCTTAGGCAGGGTCTGAGAGTAAATACTTGTGTTTTGCAGCTATGGAGAGTCTAGCAGCTCTCAGTTGTACTGTTGTACAACTACAAACTGTTTGTGAATTTATTTGCTTCTGCTTGATAAAGAAATTTACTGCAGAAATAGGGTATGGGCAAAACCCAGCCCAGTACCTATAGTTTGCCAGCCTCTAATCTGGACAGTAAGCTTCATAAGCCAATACTGTTTTTAAATGCCCAACTCAGTACCCTGCTTGTGAAACGTAACAAATAGATGCTGATACCTAACTTTTGAGAGTTGTTATAGTTGAAATTAAAATGTCCACCCATTATAATTTTCTAATAGACTTTTTAATCTTTTTATTTTCAGAACCCAATACTAAATTTTGAGCTACCTATGAACTTGATGAACTGGTTTCCTCCACCCAGAATGAAAACAAAAAGAGAAGAGATCCGAAACATAATTCTGCAGCTGCAGGAAGAGCAGAGTAAAGAGAAGAGGCTGCTGAAGGACACTTCTTCAGCAGAAGCATCCTTAGGAGATGGAGCAGAGCAGTATGCCGGCAGTGTGTCAGAGTGACTAAGAGGCTGGGGCTTGTAGCTCCAGAAATCACATGGCGTTCACCATGGGTTATAGACAGTACAGAGCTGAAGTGCTCACTGCTCAGAGATTTGGGGAATTTTAATGCTGTAAAAATGTCACATAAGTAATTTCCAAAGGAGTATGTATTAAGTAAAAGTCTGTAAATATGTTAATGAGGCCAATTTTTCCAACATTTATAATTATTTTTTTCACTTTTAGGGAACCTTTGTTATGTATTTTCTGTTAATAGTACTGAAACTGCAACTTCTAAACACAAATAAATAAACTATTTATAGGAGGAAATGATTAATTTCATATTCTTTAGTGAACTTGTATAATTCCTCAGAGTGTGATTTTATTTCATGGGAATATATATAAGTATCTATGTTTTTTTAAACCTCTGTTCTAAAATACTCAAAAATGTGAAAATATAATTGTTAGAGACATTTTAAACTAAAAAAAATGAGTCTTTATATGCTTGCATAGCAAGAAAAATGAACATCTTTTCAATTCATGCTTTCATGTGTTGAGAGAACCCCCAACTGTAGTAAATATTACACTTTTACACAGATACTTAACAACATTAAGCAATCAAAGCCAATGCGCCTTGACTTCTACTCGTAAAGCATAACTGCACTGGCGTACACTCTGCGACTCAGGTGAAAACTATCCTGGCAAGTGCAGCTTGAATATCAAATATCCAATATTACCTTTGTATTTTATCTTACAGTATGCTGCAACCTGTATGATAGAACTAGTTAAAGAAATGTTTTTAATCCCTGTAAACACAGGAATTCAAATAGGAATTTATTTTTTTGTAACTTCTACTATTTTTTCATTATTTTGTTCTCATTGTTTTGGTAAAGTATCAGACCTTTTGCTTGAGTTTTACTGTGTAAATTGTTTTAAAATGCAAACATCTGCTCTTAAATTGCATAATACAGCAAGAGCTCTTACTTTGAATTTTCCATTTAGGTTGAGAAAATGTGGGCTTGGGCCGGTAGTTCATTAGAGTGCATGCTTAACAAGCTGGAGGCCTCTTGTTTCAATCCCCAGTAGCAAACAGAAATACAAAAATGCAAAGCTTTTGATGCCACATTTGTAATTCATAGAGGTCTCACTTGTATATATAGCAACTATTGTTTTTTCAAATGAATGGTATCAATTTCTTTCAAATTTCATGTAAGACTTAAAATATGTGTTTTAAGTCATTTTCATTAGTGATTTTTTTAATGCCCATATAACAACAAAAAAAGTGATAATAAAAGGCCATTTTATCATCAGATATTTTATTTCTAATGTGGCCATATCTGGCACTGTGAGCCACAATTTAGACTGTTAATGAGTTTAGTAAAATGTTGGGAAAGATTGGAATGAGTGAGAATGTTAACAAAAAAACTTAGTGAGACTCTACTGACAAAAAGTGCAAGGAAAGTCACCATTAGGGCTATCAATTTTTTGCTTTGGCCTAGCTAAACTTGCTTGTTTCTAATTATTTCTTTTTAGTAAGACTTTATAATTGGTAGGCCGTATAATTAGCTCAGATATGTAAGATGGCAGTTTACTAAAATTTTATTTCTAACTAAAAAACCGAAATGTTTTTTTTTCTCTAGTGAAGACTGAAAAACAAAACAAAGGTATTAAAGGAAAAAAAAAACTTAATAGAAAGTATAAACAATATTCGCAGACTTTATCTTTAAAATGAACTCTATTTTGTCAAAATTCGAGGGAACTGGAAAAGTTACTGGAAGGACCAGGTATACTGGCACATTGCCAGTTAATGGCAACTGCTCAAGGGCTGAGGTCCTTGACCACTTGAGCCTGAACCTGGGAGTTCAAGGTCAGCCCGAAATATGGTGAGACACTGTCTCAAACTAAACAAACTATCCTAAAATTCTTGTGGTGTTTTTGTTTGGCTCTCAATAGTTATATTTTATAGTGTTAGATAACTTGATAAAGTAAAATTACAGCTTGTCCCTAGGGCTAATTCTGTTCTATATTCTTCGTTTTAACATAAACAATAAAGATTGTATAAATAGTTTAAAGTGGCAAGCTACCTTTAAAATGTGTGATTAGTACAAGCTGTATGACAGAACTTTGCAGAAGTCTGTCATTTGACACCAGAGCTGCATGAAGATATCTGGTGACTTCACTAATTAGATAGAGCTGCTGTATTGGTTTTCTTGTTGGATAGAGTAACAGTTAATCATTTTTAGACGAGTTTTAGATTACTTGCCATAAAATTTGTATGTGTCTGAGCTCCTGGTAGTTTAGGAGGAAAGGTGGTGTTTAACCAGTCTTGTCCCTTTGGCATCACTGACTTGCTTTCTTTAGACAACCAAGAACATGATGGAGTTAGTTCAGTTCCACTCAAACCTGAAACAGTTAGCTTTTCTTTGCATGCAGCTTGTGCTTAACTGAGTCAATTAAATGTGGAAGGTTTTATTTGAAAGCACAAAATGATTTGCATTGTGTTTTGTCTCTAAAAGGAATTAAGTGTTTTTCTCTGTGAAGCCTGTTTGTCGCCTCTGAAGACTGTGTGGAGATAGAAAGTATTAAATAGAATAACAGTTCTCTCAAAATTATTCGTAAGATTCAGACAGTTCACTGAGTATGTTTTAATCAGGAGTTGGTAGAATGATCTACCTGAAGGAGAGATGAGGCAGGGTGGCATTTGTGTGGAGCAAATAGTCATCGGAGCTGCTGTATGGAAAGAGGGCATACCGTAGAATCGAAGTTCTGTGTCCAGGATCAGCTGTGGAGAACAGCTCCAAGCAATTAAGCCGATTTCACCACAGGACTTTTCAAAGTCTTTAGTGTGGTGATGAAAATGTAGGATTATTAAGTAAAATTCAGGCCACTATATATAATTTGGCCATATCTTCCATTCCCAGAACTTCTGTAGTGAACAACTTAAGAATGTTTTGTGAATTGAACTTCAAGAGAAGATGGTTTTGAAACTGATCTGAGGGTTTAAGAACAATTTTTTCAATAGTTGAGTTTATTATTTAGGATTTTGAAAATAAGTAACTGGGTACTGGTGAAATAAAGGTTTATGAGAAGCTCTTTTTAAACATTATGAAGAAAACCTTTGTAAGGAAAAGGTTACAAATTAATTTTTTCACATTAATGAGTTCACTTAGGGAAGAGATATATAATTTTTGTAAAGTCACCAAATCCCAACAAACATGAAAGTAGAAATTCTGTAAATACTGAAGTGACTTGAAAGTCTGTTTAGAGGTGTTTCCTTTTTACCTGAGCCTCGTATTGCTGGCTTGAACTTCCCTCTGACTTCCACCCCATTTTTTATGTTAGAACTAAATTGTAATTGGTGAATTTCATACCTAAGGACATGTTTTTCTTTCATCAAAATCTGTGCAAAAAAGTATTCTTTAGTAAGCTGGAATAGTTTTATTAACATACTGAATATTTTAAACTTGTCTTACTGAAAGTTGTTCAAATTTATAATAAAACATGTTATCATAATTAGCTTTATACAGGTAACAGAAGACTTTAGATTTTAAGTCTTTAAAACGGTCACTATTTTGAGCACCTAGTATGTAGTAGAGGACTAAATAGAAAGCATCTATCCACTTCACAGTGTGGTGGGAAACATTCATTGGCTTCACAAATGAGTGCCAGTCATGAAAAACAGTGTGCATAGAGACCGGAATTTCCAGGTCTCAGAAGGCTAGACACTTACTGAAGGGGTGACATTTGAACCACTGGTAGTAGTCTAGGAGAGGAAGAATAAAATCTGAAGTAGAAAGATGCTTTGGCTTAAAATGATAATTGTTCCATTAATAAAGCATGTACTGAATGCTAAACATTGTGTAGAGCATTTTAGATAAATGAATTCACTTCCTTAATGATCTTAGGAGATTGGTGTACTGCTAAATACTTCCATTTTGTGAGACAGATAGGTCCACAGCGTTAAACAACATTGCTAGGTTAACCTGTACTTGGTCAAATTAGGTACTAGTACGATACTGGTGATTTTCTAGAGATGCACTGTGGTAGAGTCTTCATCTCTGAAGTGGGTGTAAGAGGCTGCTCTGAATTATACTAGTTTTAAGTAATGTGTAAACATTTGCATAGTTTCTTAGAATGCCTTGTGTGAAGTAGAAAGGGAGGCTGGAAGCTAATTGTGCAGGGCCTTGTAGCCATGTTCAAAATCTTGATCATTACTATGAAAAGTTACAGAAGCATTTCAGACAGGAGTAACACAATCAAATGTGCATGCAGATCGTGTGTAAATGAAAATGGGACCAGAATGAAAACAGTTGTAATGAAACTGAGTTCCCAAGGTGAGGCATGGCATGACATACCTGTGTGGTAGGAATGCTGGGAAGACAAAGTGGTACCATTTGAAATGTTCCTTTTAGGGATGCAACAAGAACATGAAAAGCTGTTCTTTATCCCAATCAAAGAACAAATGATTCAAGGGTAATGCAAGCATATACTGCTTAAAATAGAAATGATTAGTGTTAGACATTACTAACATAAAATAAGTTGTAAAAGCCAAATCATTCCTAAAACACATGACACTACCAAAGAGATAAAGATCATTAATTTTTTAGACAAAGCTTTCTATTTTTAAATACAAACCTCATGAAAGGAAGATGTAAATTCGAATTAAATACCAACGTTCCTTCACAGAAAAAAAGACTTAACTCAAGAACAACTCACGCTCAATCTAATTGTGCAAGATCTCCAAACTCTAAGCTACCCAAGTGCTTGCATACATAGTTCTACGTTCTGACTTGCCACTCCCTGTCCCCTTCTGTCAGCTGATGGGGCTCAAGGAAAGAGCAGGCAAAGGAGACAAAGGAGACAGGAATTAGAAGATCAGATCTAGGTATTGGAAATTTAGATTGAAAGTAGGAAATAATTTGCATATTGGAAGAAAAGAAAATGTTATATGTCAGTCTAATAAATGACCTCGTTTCTAAGGACTTTCTTATTTTAACCTCTGAAATAAGACTGTATCCTATCAAATAAACTTGACTTTGTCTCAATTAATGGAAAGCATAAATATAAGTTGCCAAGCCTGGTCCCTGGTTACTGACTTGGTGTGCAGTGCAGTCTACACATTTACAGCCCTAACAGATTGCAGGCAAGAGCACACTTGGAACCACTGATACACGTGACTTCTTAGTAACACTGCAGTCAGCTGGGGGAAGTGTGGTGCACCAAGCATCCTCACACTGGCTTGCTGAAGTACTGTATGAGCTTGTCTTCTCCTACCTGTGTTTTATACCTGAACTGAGACATGTAATTAAAGTTCTGATCTTTTTTTTTTATTATACTCTGAACTTTTCTTTCCTACCTCTTCTGTGGTTTCCCCATATCCATATTTTTCTATGCATTTATATGATAAATGTATTAAAATGCAATTTCTCTTATGAAACTAGGATAACTTTTATAAACACTTTATAGAATCTTGTCTCAGCAGTGTGTCCTGGAAATTATTTAGCCTTGCCTCGCTCTGTTCACCACTCTAGTTTTGCCTGCGCTATAGAATTACAGGATCTCAGGACTTACCTTTTACAAAAATGTTCCCTGTCTTTGATCATGATAGATGTCCAGAGAAAGGAGGGAGGAGGGGAGCTCTTCCTGATGCAGCTTCTTTCCTTCTTCACAGTGGGAAGGGAAGCCAGTGGGCAGCCTGTCAGCTCAAAGCTCCCGCCCAGCAGAGAAGCCTGTGTTGCTGCCATTCAGAGTCTGCAAACGTCTGTACCTTCTAACTTCCAGTTAGATGTCAAAGCTTGCTTTTACCATTTCTCCAGGAGAGGAAGGTTTTTTTGTGACTTCCACAGCAGTAGAC